CAAGACCACACCTGATATATTATTGTTATTATTACTAGCTGTCTCCTGCCACGCGTTGCTGTGACCCAGACTGGTGATCTAGAAAATAAAGTAATGAGAAAGTCTTGGTTTCTAATACATGTAATTTCTTTATGCTTGTGGGTAAAGTATTTCTTGTTGTTTCTTCACCAGTGTTGATATAGAGATTGTCTGGTTTGCCTACTCTTGAACATGCGACATATTATTGTCCTTCTTTAGCGGTCCCTTTCAAATCTATGATACTATACCTGTGTGTGTGAATCATATCTACCTATATCTATGGCTGGATGGCTCTTTGTCAGGAGGGCTTTGATTACGTTTTCTTGCCCTGGTGAAGGGAGTTGGACTGGATGGCCTTAAGTATCTTCTGTTGGTCATGGGGGTTCTGTGTGGGAAGTTTGCCCCAATTCTGTCCGTGGCGGGAGTCGGAATGCTCTTTGATTGGAGGTGAACTATAAATCCCAGTTACAACTCCCAAATGTCAAGGTCTATTTCCCCCAAACTCCATCTGTGATCATATCTGGGCATATGGAATATTCATGCCAAATTTAGTCCAAATCTATCATTGTTTGAGTCCACAGTGCACTCTGGATGTAGGTGAACTACAACTCCCAAACTCAAGGTCAATACCCACCAAACCCTTCCAGTATTTTCTGTTGGCCATGGCAGTCCTGTGTGCCACATTTGGTTCAATTCCATCATTGGTGGAGTTCGGAATGCTCTTTGATTGTATGTTAACTATAAATCCCAGCAACTACAACTCCCAAATGAAAAAAATCAAATTTTTGAGTGCTGGTCACTCCTTGGGTAGTAGGTGTCTTGTGGCCAAATTTGGCAGCAATTCATCCAGTGGTTTTTGAGTTATGTTAATCCCACAAACGAACATAACATTTTTATTTATATAGATTATTATTATTATACTTTTCTTTCTTGACCAAGATCCTGTACAGCTCAGGCTACTATATGTGTATTTATATTTATTTGTATCCTGCTCTATCTGGATTGAGACCCAAAGCATCATTTTAACAATGCAAGGATTTAAGAAGCCAGGAAGTGAAGCAAACACAACAACATAACACACTTTTCTTGGGGTTTTCCAGACAGAAAAGGACCTAAACATGTTAGAGGGAGGTCCTTATACAGAGGAACCACTAGAGCCATTGCCAAATGAAGTGACCAGTTGCCCAAAATGAAAGGCTGACCACAAACGAAAATGGGTAGTTGTGCAAGTAGCCTGCAGTGGGAGTCAGGCCATGATTTTAGTGGTTCGTATCCATCATCTCTGCAATATCATGTTTCATTCCTGACCTTTATAAACAGCTTTCCCCAAAGTGCAGGACAAGAAAGTGAAAGAGAGAGACAGAGAGAGGGAGGGAGAAGGGCAAAAGGGAACAACTTCAGTGAAGTGACATGTTGGAAAGTGACTCGTTCTCCAAAGACAAAGACAACAACAACAACAACAACAACAACAACAACCATTTTTATTGATTAGCCAGTTGGCCTTATCAAAACAGACAGCCCTAACACAACATATAACATACATCTAGTCCTCTTAAAAATAAAATACAAATTTACAGGTGTTTGTTATCTTGAAACCAATGTAGCTTACCTGTAGATATATGATGGAAATCCAAAGACAAAAACAAAATTGAAACCCCTCTAGCATGACATCTAATCACCTCTCAACAAAAGATTGCCCCAGGCACTGCCAGGATATCAAATGCTAATCAAGGTGGTCAGTTGAAACATTCACACCTAGCTCCAGCAGACAAGAGTCCTTTGTCCCACCCGGGTCATTCCACAGATATATAAACTCTCTTTCCCAGTTCCAACAGACCTCACTACCTCTGAGGATGCTTGCTATAGATGCAGGCGAAACGTCAGGAGAGAATGCCTCTAGAACATGGCCATATAGCCCAAAAAAACCTACAACAACCCAGTGATTTCGGCCATGAAAGCCTTCGACAAAATTGAAACTATACAACTCCATAGAAGAGTAAAGTCAGGGCTACTTTTCTTCCTAGTTTGGCCTGGGATTGCCCAGAAAAGGCCCTGCTCCGAGTGCCTTCTTCATCCAGCAGTGAAGCTGGGTTTGCCTTTGGGATGGGCAAGTCCTTGAGACACTAAAGGGAGCAACCAACCATGACGTTATTTCTTCCCTTGAAGCCTTTGCCTGGCGACTCTTGGTCCACCAAGTTCCCAGAAGGCAGTATGCAGCAAATTCAAATATTGCACTAGGAGGAATAGGATTTGGGGATCAGAGGCCCACTCTTCACTCTTCCTGGGACAAAGAAATCCATTGATTTAGGCACTCATAGGCACTCGGTGGCGCAGTGGGTTAAAGCACTGAGCTGCTGAGCTTGTTGATCGAAAGGTCGCAGGTTTGATTCCGGGGAGCGGCGTGAGCTTCCGCTGTCAGCCCTAGCTTCTGCCAACCTAGCAGTTCGAAAACATGCAAATGTGAGTAGATCAATAGGTATCGCTCTGGCGGGAAGGTAACGGCGCTCCATGCAGTCATGCCAGCCACATGACCTTGGAGGTGTCTACGGACAACACCGGCTCTTCGGCTTAGAAATGGAGATGAGCACCACACCCCAGAGTCAGACATGACTGGACTTAATGTCAGGGGACTACCTTTACCTTAGGCACCCATTGGATATAACTAGACTGGTCAGGAAGTGATGCGTAGTACCCTAAGAAGCCTCTGATTCAGACACATCCCTTCCCAAGTCTATTAACACTCGCTTTTGAGCAGAGGCTAGATGGCCATCTGCCAGGAAGGCTTGGAATGTGTCTTCCTGCCTGAGTAGACCAGAACACTTTGGAGCAGTGTTTCCCAACCTGTATCATCCAATATTTTTGTTTATCCGACATTCTGCCTGCCCATTTCTGCCAGATAAGCGAGACTCTACTGTACTACTACTGCTACTACTACTACTACTACTACTACTACTAATAATAATAATAATAATAATAATAATAATAATATCTGTTCTCAGTCATTTCCATGTTAGATTTGGGTGGTTCTTCCTAAAATGGAGCTTTGAGTCTCCATGAGAGAAAGAATGCAGAATACAAACACTATTATTAATAATATTAATAATAATAACTCTGTGGCCCAGAACCGCAGAAAGTCCCTTCAAGGCATATGGGGTTCTGTGTGGGAAGTTTGACCCAATTCTATCAATGGTGGGGTTCTGAATGCTCTTTGGTTGTAGGTAAACTATAAATCCCAGCAACTACAACTCCCAAATGTCAAGGTAGATTTTCCCCCAAACTCCATCAGTGTTCACATTTGGGCATATTGAGTATTCTTGTAGAGTTTGATCCAATTCCATCATTGTTTGAGTCCACAGTGCTCTCTGAATGTAGGTGAACTACAACTTCAAAACCAAAGGACACTGCCCACCAAACCCTTCCAGTATTTTCTGTTGGTCATGGGAGAACTGTATGCCCAGTTTGGTTCAATTCCATCGTTGGTGGGGTTCAGAATGCTCTTTGATTGTAGGTGAACTATAAATCCCAGCAACTACAACTCCCAAATGACAAAATCAATACTCCTCCCCCCAACCACACAAATATTCTAATTTGGGTTTATCGGGTATTTGTGCCAAATTTGGTCCACGCGTTGCTGTGGCCCACATAGGGGTTCTGTGTGGGAGGTTTGGCCCAATTCTATCATTGGTGGGATTCAGAATTCTCTGTGATTGTAGGTAAACTATAAATCCCAGCAACCACAACTCCAAATGTCAACATTCTATTTTCCCCAAACTCCACCAGTGTTTGCATTTGGGCATATTGAGTCTTCGTGTAGAGTTTGGTCCAGATCCATCATTGTTTTGAGTCCACAGTGATCTCTGGATGTAGGTGAAGTACAATTCCAAAGCCAAAGGACACTGCCCACGAAATCATTCCAGTATTTTCTGTTGGTCATGGGAGAACTGTGTGCCCAGTTTGGTTCAATTCCATCGTTGGTGGGGTTCAGAATGCTCTTTGATTGTACAACAACTACAACTCCCAAATGACAAAATCAGTTTTTTGAGTGAAGGACATGCATTGGGTTGTTAGGTGTCTTGTGTCCAAATTTGGTGTCAATTTGTCCAGTGGTTTTTGAGTTCTGTTAATCCCACAAACGAACATTACATTTTTATTTATATAGATGATGATGATGATGATGATGATTATTATTATTATTATTATATTGATTTTTATCCCAATGTCAGGACTCAAGGCAGCTAAAAGTGATCATGGCACCATACAATTAAAAGCAAATGTATTATAATTTGGAGCTATCTGGGGTTTTGCTCCAGGGAGGAGTGCTCTTGAGAACCCGGCATGGCCAAGTGTCAAGGGCCAGATCCCTCATTTCCTGCCTGGAAAGACGATCCCTGGGATGAGTCCTGACGCCAGAAGCGTCCCGCCAGGAAGGACCCCGGCGCCTCCGGAACTTCCCTTACAAGCAGTGGCTCCTTTCCCAACTGCCTGGGAGCTCTAGTGTTTTCCAGCAGTGGCTTTAGAGGTGTCCATTGGTCTAGATCAGGGCTTCTCAAACTTTTTCAGCCCTTATTGAAGTATGTGTGTGTGTATATATATAAATGTAATGTTCGTTTGTGGGATTAACAGAACTCAAAAACCACTGGACGAATTGACACCAAATTTGGACACAAGATACCTAACAACCAAGGACGCCCACCAATGACCTGGCTGCTCTGGTGCCAAGCGGGGCCCCGGTTGCTCTTTCTCCAGTCTGCAAGCATGCAGAAGTAATCTCCATCTTGGAATAGCGCTCTCCTCTTTGCATAAGGGCCGATTGTTCCTCTGCCCAGAGGCCTGAGCCTGCCCTCGTCCGCAGCCTTTGAGGGTCTATTGCAAAGAGCCCTCCTCCTGCCCTCATTTCTGCAGGCACTGCTCTCCCTGAGCTAGCTTTGGACACATTTCCTTCCCAAGAGACCCTGACTTTCCCCCTTCTTTCCTTTCTTCAGGGAGAAGACCGGCTGGAGGCCTGCCAGAAGGAGGCCGGGGAGGTGACCGAGATCATGTTGGAGAACTACACCAAGGTCCTGGACCGGGAGGTCAAGCTCACCGAACTGGATGAACGAGCCGACGAACTTCGGAACCAGGTGGGATTTGGGCAGAGGGAGGACAGCATGAGAGATTCAGAAGCCTAGAGTTGGTAGGGGCCCCCTGAGACCATCCAGTCCAACCCCATTCGGCTGTTATGAAGGAAGGCAGCATCTAATCCCTCCTGGCAAGTGGCCATTGAGCCTCTGTTCAAAAACTCAAGAGAAGGTAGATGAATAAATAGATAGATAAACTGATAGATAGGCAGATTGCTGGAGTTGGAAGGGACCCCTTGTGACCACCCAGTCCAACCCGTTTTTGCCATTTTGCAGGAAGACACCACCTAAACCCTCCTGACAGATGGGCATCCAGCCTTAACTTCAAAACCTAGAGGAATAGATTGATAGCTAGACTGAGTTGAAAGCCCCCCCACCATTTAAGCCCTCCCAACAGATGGTCATTCAGTCTTTGCTTCAAAACCTGCAGAGGGGATAGATGGATGGATGAATGGATGGATGGATGGATGGATGGATGAATCAATGGGTAGATGGGCGGATAGATGATAGATAGATGGATGGATAGATGGATGGATGGGTAGATGGGTGGATAGATGGTAGATGGGTAGATGGGTAGTTGGGTGGATAGATGAATGGATGGGTAGGTGGGTGGATGGTGGATAGATGGTAGATGGGTGGATGGATGGGTGGGTGGATAGATGGATGGGTGGGTAGATGGGTGGATGGATGGATGGATGAATGGATAGATGGATAGATGGATGGATAGATGGGTGGATAGATGGATGGATGGGTAGATGGGTGGATGGGTAGATGGGTGGATAGATGGTAGATGGGTGGATGGATGGATGGGTAGATGGGTGGRTAGATGGTAGATGGGTGGATGGGTACATGGGTGGTTGGTAGATGGGTGGATGGATGGATAGATGGGTGGATAGATGGATAGATGGATGGATGGGTAGATGGGTGGATAGATGGATGGATGGATGGGTAGATGGGTGGATAGATGAATAGATGGGTAGATGGGTAGATAGATGGTAGATGGGTGGATGGATGGGTGGATAAATGRATGGACAGATGGATGGATGGGTACATGGATGGACAGATGGATGGATGGGTAGATGGGTGGATAGAAGGATGGATGGGTAGATGGRTRGATGGATGGATGGATGGATGGATGGATGGATGGAAGGAGGGAGGGGGGAGGAGGGAGGGAAGGATAGATAGATAGATAGATAGATAGATAGATAGATAGATAGATAGATAGAGGGGTGGGTGGATGAATTCATAAATTCAATGTATTGTCAAAGGCTTTCATGACTGGAATCACTGGGTTGTTGTAGGTGTTTTGGACTATATGGCCATGTTCTAGAAGCATTAGGAAGGTCGCAGCATTAGGAAGGTTGAGAAACACTGCATTATATGGTGAATGTAGACTTATATAATGCAGTTTGATGCTTCATTATATGGCTCATGTGGAATCATATAATACAGTTTGATGTTGGGTTGTTGTAGGTTTTTTGGCCTATATGGCCATGTTCTAGAAGCATTCCCTCCTGATGTTTTGCCTGCATCTATGGAAAGCATCCTCACAACCTCTGAGGATGCCTGCCATAGATGCAGGTGAAACGTCAGGAGAGAATGCTTCTAGGACATGCCCATACAGTCCAAGAAACCTACAACAACCCAGTGATTCCAGCCATGAAAGCCTTCGACAATAGTTTGATGTTGCATTATAGGGTCAGTGAGGTCTCATGTAATGCCATTTAACCCTATTATATTAGTTAAACTGCATTACAGGGCTTTGTAGATGGAACCACAGTTTCTCACCCTCCACTTAGAAACGTCTTTCCCTTTCTGCATTATGCATTGTTCCACCCCTTTAACCTCCGTCCGGCACAGTCTTTCTAAGGTCCAGGCATCAACAGTGGGAAAAATCCAGTTTTTGGAGGACAGACAAAGGGCTTTTATGGGTTTCTAGTGTAACAATGAAGATCCCTTTCCCCTCCAAGGAATTCTTTTTCATTGCTTCTGAAACCCTTTCTCCATGAAATCCCCTCAGCTATCAAACTCTGGCCACGAACAAAAATAAACAATGATCCTTGTAAAACTCAAGCCCTTGTATCTGCAGGGAATCTTGTGATCTCAGTGATGTAATTCGTTGTTGTAAAAAACACTGTAAACAGAGGGACAAACAGGAAGCAAGAAACCCTTTGGGAAAACCCAAGAAAATTTGACTTTGCTTAAAGAACAGGCTGGGAAAGATGAAGCCTCTTGGCTCCTTTCTCATGGGATCCATCTACACCAGGCATGGGCAAACTTCGGCCCTCCGGATGTTTTGGGCTTCAACTCCCACAATTCCTAACAGCCGGTAGGCTGTTAGGAATTGTGGGAGTTGAAGCCCAAAACATCCGGAGGGCCGAAGTTTGCCCATGCCTGATCTACATTGAAGGGACTAAAGCTCCTTTTAAGGGCTCAATGCTATTTATTTATTTGTCGTGTCAGGGCAACCAATCAATTCTATTACATTTCTAACAGAAAAAAGCAAACAGACAAAATACAAAATTTGTGAGTTTGGTGGTTGATTAAATGTCCTTTGACCAGTAGCTGGCCACTTGGAGTGCTTCTGGTTTTGCTGCAAGAAGGTCCTCCATTGTGCATGTGGCAGGGCTCAGGTTGCAATGCAGCAGGTGGTCAGTGGTTTGCTCTTCTCCACACTCGCATGTCGTGGATTCCACTTTGTGGCCCCATTTCTTAAGTTTGGGTCTGCATCTTGTGGTGCCAGAGCGCAGTCTGTTCAGCGCCTTCCAAGTCTCCCAGTTTTCTGTGTGTTCAGGAGGGAGTCTCTCATTTGGTATCAGCCATTGGTTGAGGTTCTGGGTTTGAGCCTGCCACTTTTGGACTCTCACTTGCTGAGGTGTTCCAGCGAGTGTCTATGTAGATCTTAGAAAACTATTTCTTGATTTAAGTTGGTGATGTGCTGGCTGATACTCAAACAGGGGATGTGCTGGAGATGTCTCTGCCTTGGTCCTTTCACTATTGGCTGCTACTTCCCGGTGGATGTCAGGTGGTGCAATACCGGCTAAGCAGTGTAATTTCTCCAGTGGTGTAGGGCGCAGACACCCCGTGATAATGCGGCATGTCTCATTAAGAGCCACATCCACTGTTTTAGCGTGGTGTGATGTGTTCCACACTGGGCATGCATACTCAGCAGCAGAGTAGCACAGCGCAAGGGCAGATGCCTTCACTGTGTCTGGCTGTGATCCCCAGGTTATGCCAGTCAGCTTTCGTATGATATTGTTTCTAGCACAACACTTTTTGCTAGATATTCAGGCAGTGCTTCTTGTAGGTCAGAGAACGGTCCAGAGTTACTCCCAGGTATTTGGGTGTGCTGCAATGCTCCAGTGGGATTCCTTCCCAGGTAATCCTCAGAGCTCGAGATGCTTGTCTGTTCTTAAGGTGAAAGGCACATGTCTGTGTTTTAGATGGTTTGGGGATCAGCTGGTTTCCCCTGTAATAGGCAGTAAGAGCACCTAGAGCTTCGGAAACTTCTGTTCTACCATCTCAAAGCTCCCTGCTTGGGCGGTGATGGCACGATCATCAGCATAGATGAAACTCTCTGTCACTTCTGGCAGTGGCTGGTCATTTGTGTAGATGTTGAACATGGATGGAGCAAGCATGCTCCCTTGAGGCAGGCCGTTCTTCTGTTTCCGCCATCTGCTTCTCTGGCCCTGGAACTCAACAAAAAAGCTCCTGTTTTGTAGCAGGTTTCCTGTGAGGTGGGTGAGGTGGTAGTCCTTTGTGATATTATACATTTTTCTCAGGAGGAGGTGGTAGTTCACAGTATCATAGGCTGCTGACAGGTTTATGAAGACAGCTCCTGTGATCTGCTGCCTTTCAAAGCCATCTTCCAAAGTCGGGGGGCCACAGAAGAGAAGGCTCTCTCCCTTGTGCCCACAAGACGAGCTTGTGAGATTGGTAAAGGTGAAAGGAGGACCTCCCCCGAGGAACGAAGGCATTCCTCCCATGCATTCTTAAGCAGACATGCAACACACATAAGTCTTCTCATTTTTAAGGGCACATGCACTGGAGAAAGAGAAAACATGTGATGGAGAGTGAGAGATGGAATTCTGCAAGCCAGTTTGAGTTTTCTGCATGGGAGGAATGTTGTTGTTGTTGTTATTGTTGATGATGTCTGGGTGTTTTCTCATCCCTTCTCTTGCCTGTCCTTTCTTCTTAGAGTGCTGCCTTCAGCAAGACAGCAAAGACCGTGGCCCAGAAGAAGCGCTGGGAGAACACCAAGTGCAAGCTGATCCTGGCCGGAGTGGTGGTGGCCGCCCTCCTGGTCATCATTCTGGCCATCGTTCTTGCCTTCCTCCTCCCAGGGTCAGCGGCGGCAGGAGATGCAGCCGCCTCTTCCTCGGCCGGAGGAAATTGAAGGACCGGCCCAGTGTCTTCTCTATCGATTGCCATTGGCTCTGGGCCTCTATTTGGGGACTTTGCAGCTTGTTGGAAACAAGCCATTCTGAGGAAGAAAGCATTCACTGGGAGACCCCCTTTTCTGGCTCTGGTCAAACGTCCCCCACAAAACATCCTTCCTCGGTTATAGCAAGACCATACCTTTTTGCTGCTCTATGCCAATCCCCACCTTTCCCAAGGGGTACATTCAGCCCTTGCTTTCCTCTGTTTTTGGAGAGAGTCTGCTCCCTAGAGTTGGAAGAGACCCCAAAAGCCATCCAATCCAACCCCTTCCTCGCAATCAGGGAAGACACAATCCAAGCACCCCCAACAGGTGGCCATCCAGCCTCTGCTTGAAAACCTCCAAGAGAAGGAAGCTTCGCCACACTGAATCCTAGAAATTGAAGAAATCCCCCACAATAATCCAATCCAAACCCCTTCTGCCAAACAGGACCCCAAGCAAGCCCTCCTGACAAATGTCCATCCAGCCTCTGCTTAGAAACCTCCAAGGAAGATTATTATTATTACAAGGGATATCCAGAAAGTAAGGTTACAATATTTTTAAATACAAAGAATGAATATATTTTAATAAAACTTACATGGATTGTAGCAGAGGGATTACATGATTTTACCACGTCATCACTATTCAGTTCAATACATTTCGTCATCTGTGGGATGAGTTTTGGATGCCTGTGTCATAGACGTTTCCGTCCGCCTTTTTCAGCCAGTTCATCACTTTGATTTTCACCTCCTTGTCATCAGAAAAGTGTTTTTCACCTAGCTGTTCCTTCAATTTAGTGAACAGATGATAGTCACTGGGTGCAAGATTGGGGCTGTAAGAGGGGTGGCTTAAAACATCCCAACTAAATAAAGTTCACAACTCTTGTGTTGCATGAGCGGTGTGCGGATGTGCATTGTCATGAAGGAGACAGACTCCCGCCATCAGCATCCCACGACATTTGTTTTGGATGGGTCTGCAAAGTTTCTTCATGGTCTCATAATACATTTCATACCCATTTTGCCACATGCTGTCGTGACATGACGTCCTCTCCATAAACTGAAACGATTTCACAATGAACTGCAGCGGCGTTCATGCCCTTAGCATTTAGTTAGCGTATTACAGCACAAACTTCACACTTGGAAGGAAATAGAATGAGGGTGCTCCTCTCTAAACTTCACCACAACGCCAGTCAATGAGCTACTGGCGACTGGCACTGCTCGTTCGCTTCCACTGGCTTCCCACAACACGGCAGTGAGACCAACTTCTCCTGCAAAAATTCCCTGCAAGAGCTACGTGCCTTGTAACTTTACTTTCCAGATATCCCTCATACAGCACGAGCTTTGCATTTGGAGATAAACAGAATGAGGACGCTCCTATTTAAGCTTCACCACATCACCCTTAGCATTTAAGGTAGCATATTACAGAGCAAACTTCACACTTGGAAAGAAACAGAATGAGTACACTCCTCTCTAACCTTCACCACAATGCTACTGATGACTGGCACTGCTCGTTCACTCCCGCTGGCTTCTTGCTACATGGCAGTGATACCAACTTCCCCAGTGAAAATTTCCTGCAAGAGCTTCATGCCTTGTAACCTTACTTTCCAGATATTCCTCGTACAGCACGAACTTCACACTTGGAGGGAAACAGACTGAGGACACTCATCTCTAACCTTCACCACAAGGCCAGTCGATGAGCTACTGATGACTGGCACTGCTCATTTTCTTCCACTGGCTTCCCGCTACACAGCAGTGATACCAACTTCTCCTGCGAAAATTCCCTACGAGAGCTTTGTGTCTTGTAACCTTACTTTCTGAATAACCCTCGTAGAATCCTAGAATTTGAGGGGACCCCACAATCACCCAGTTCAAACCCTTTCTGCCAAGCAGGACCCCATTTAATCCCTCCTGACAGATGGTCATCCAGCCTCTGCTTCAAAACAACCAAGAGAAGGAATCTCTACCAGTCTCAAAGTCAGCATATCGAAGAGCTGTGACTGCCAGGAGATTCTTCCTAATGTTTTGGTGGAATCTCTTTGCTTGTAATTTGAATCTATTGCACTCTGTTTATGTCCAAATTGGGGTCCCCTTATAGCTTGGAACCCCCCATTTCCCTTTGCAACTTTTCCTGCAAGCAATGGGTTTTTGGAGAGGCCAAGCATTTGCTGCATCCTTTCTCAAATTGATGACGATCAGCCTTTTTAACAATTGCACCAATGCACCAATGGCTTGGGGGCACTGTCTTAACCCAATGAGGTTCTTATATTAATTTTTGGAGGGTGTTTTAGGGTCCAATTTGGGAAGAATGGTAGAGCCAGAAGGTGTCTCAAAGGTCATGTAGTCTGTCCCATTTCTAACTGCAGGCTTTGTTGTGCAGAATGTAGAGGATGAAGCCCTCCAATTAACACTTACCGATCCCCCAAAAGGAGGCTCTCCCCAACCTTACCACGTTTCCCTCTTGGCAGGTTGCATTGCAAAGTGCCATTGGCTTCTTTAAAAAAAAGACATCTTTGGACATTATCATGAAGGCGATTTCCCTGTATATGGAAACCCGTATTTTGCTGCTCACGTTTTCCCTGCATCCAGCAAGACCTGGAGGATTCGCACTGATGTCCCACAAAGGTGTGGGGTTTGCAATGGAGAGAGATGTTCCCCTGCTCTTTCTGGGTTTTTTGGAAATGTGAAAGCTGTGTCTTAATTTGATTTTTGTGTTCTTTTAAAGCACTCGTGTGAGCTGCCATGTCGATGGAGCATCCCTTATCTGGAATTCAAAAATCCAAAATTGTCCACTTGGGTGCCTTTGCTTTCCTGTTTGTTGTGTTTTGTTTGTTTATCCTTTGGTTTTCAATTGTTTTTCTAATGGGGGAAAACAACTTTGAGGTCATCACTTCTGCAAATGCAAGAGTTCGAGCCCTGCAAGAAGCATCATTTATTGTTTTTAATGTGCACAGAATTTCATTTGATTATTACAATCTTTTTTTGCACCAAGCCACCTTATGTACAAAAGAGTCTTGCTTATCCGACATAAACAGGCCACCTAGCTCCAGCAGGGAAGAGTTCTTTGCCCCACCCCAGCCATTCCACAGATATATAAACCCATTGTCCTAATTCCAACAGACCTCACTACCTCTGAGGATGCTTGCCATAGATGCAGGCAAAACGTCAGGAGAAATGCCTCTAGAACATGGTCCTATAGCCCGAAAAAACCCACAAGAACCTAGTGATTCCAGCCATGAAAGCCTTCGACAATACATAGGCCAGCAGAACATTGGATAAATGAAAATATCGGATAATACGGAGTTCCCTACTGTTACCTGTCCAATGTGGCACTAGACCCCTAGAATACTAACAACAGGGACTAAAAGAGTTAAAGCAAGGCAATGCACCGGGGCTAGAGTGGCCCAGCAGGAAGTGCCCGGATGTGGAAGAGGAGCGTGGAAATCACAGAGGGAAGGAGGGAGGATGCTTCCGCTTCCAAACCTGCCTCTTTTTCCCCTTTACTCCCTCCTTCTCCTCGTCTTTTTCACTTATTGGAGAGAGAGTTGGGGAGCGCTCCTTTAATTGAAGGGGAAATGCTGGAGAAAAGTGAGGGCGTCGGATAAGAGCGTTGGATAAGACGGAAGGCCGGATAAGCGAAAGTTGGATAAGCAAGACTCTACTGTATGTCTAATTCGATGTCTATGAAAGATGCATGGATTTCCTACATAGGTCCCATGTCATTACGTACATATATGCAAATAATTTGAAAACAACAACAATCTGAATCCCATTTTTTTTGGTCCCAAGAATTTCACATAAGGGATGCTCAACCTGTTCTCATTTACCTGCATTGTTTAACTTAGTGAAATGTACCATAATAGAACCGTGTCTTTAGGGAAGACACTGACGTGTTGTTTCACCCTAGCCATGATTATGATTATGGCCAGAAACCCTAGCATTTACATTGGTCAATTATTACTTTGTATTCTTTTTTTAGTATATGTAGACAATCTCAGGTAATTATTTCCTTTTGGATATTGCAACCCTCTATATCTTGAGACTCTGTGTTGGGCTGGAAGTGCATGTACACAGCGAAATGAATGCAGTTTGAAGCCACCTTAACCACTCATTGCGATGGATCCTTGGAGCGGTAGTTATACCAGCATCAAACTGCATTAATTCCGCAGTGTAGATGCACAAAGCAAAGGGACAAAGGGGCACGGAGCAGTCAGTGAAAGAGCTGGACACAGCCCAAAGTCTTCCTCATTGTCCTCTCTGCCTGGGCAATTCCAGCTCTCCTTCCAATTAACGACTTCCTTCACCGTTTATGTAAATACTAACTTGCATAATTGTTTTTCCAAGTGCCTTGTATTTTCAGAAGGAAGGCTGTCCTTATGTCATTATGTCTGTCTGCTCTTTCTGTGCGCCTTTTGTTTTAAAGGCTACCCCTCCCTTAAAAGTTTGGTTTTGCGGCAAAGGAGTGTAAAATCCTTTTGGATTGCGGCTTCTAGAACGAAAAGAAGAAAGGAAGAAAGGAAGAGAAGTTCTTTTGTAACAAAGGGCGGCTTTGTGTCTGGATTTATTGCACTGATTTGGGGAGGCAAAGAAAAGACAATATGGTGCCAATCTTTAGTCAAAAGAAGGTCATTTCAAGGGACAATATACCTCGCAATGGCACTGTGTTTCCTCTAAAGAAGAATCAGCAAGATAATAATAATGTCAGCAATAGTAATAGTAGTAGTAATAATAATGTTAGTAATAATAATCTTAACCATAATGTTAGTATCCTGTTTTCCCCAAAAATAAGACATCCCCTGAAAATAAGACCTATATATAGTTTTGCTGAATTGCTAAATATAAGCCCTCCCCAAAAGTAAGACCTAGCAAAGTTTTTCTTTGGAAGCATGCCCGCCGAACAGAACACCAGAGCATGGAGCTGTGATTCTTTCTTAGCCCGCCACCATTGTCCCCTACCTTGACCATCGGTTGCAGAGGAGCTGCATGCAGGAGATGAAGACCGTCACCTGCCGCCAACCCCAATGTTCCGTTCCGTACGCTGTCCCTTCTGTCCGAGACTGTTGTGATGAGCTCCCCCTTGTGGCTGGAAGCTGCAATACTGCATCTGCTGTACAAGTGTGCCTTCAATTCTTCTTCATGGAAAAATAAGACATCCCCTGAAAATAAGGCCTAGTGCAGGGTCCTCGAACTTTTTAAACAGAGGGCCAGGTCACAGTCCCTCAAACTGTTGGAGAGCCGGATTATAATTTGAAAAAAAACATGAATGTATTCCTATGCATGCTGCACATATCTTATTGTAGTGCAAAACACTTAAAATACAATAATTAAAATGAAGAGCAATTTTAACAAATATAAACGTTTTAGTATTTCAGTGGGAAGTGTGGGCCTGCTTTTGGCTGATGAGATAAGGTTGTTGTTGTGTTGCTGTTATTGTTGTTGTGTGTTTTCAAGTCATTTCAGACTTAGGGTGCTCCTGAGCAAGGGCCGGGTAAATGACCTTGGAGGGCCACATTGGACCCTCTGGCCTTAGTTTGAGGACTCCTGGCCTAGTGCATCTTTGGGAGCAAAAATATAATATAAGGCACAGTCAGGCCATTGTATGCTAATCAAGGTGGTCAGTTGAAACAGTCACACCTAGCTCCAGCAGACAAGAGTCCTTTGTCCCACCCTGGTCATTCCACAGATATATAAACCCTTTTTCCTAGTTCCAACAGACCTCACTACCTCTGAGGATGCTTGCCATAGATGCAGGCGAAACGTCAGGAGAGAATGCCTCTAGAACATGGCCATATAGCCCGAAAAAACCTACAACAACAGTGATTCCGGCCATGAAAGCCTTCGACAATACAGCAATAATACTGTTAATAGTAGTAGCAATGTTAGTAGTAGTAATGCTAATAACAGTAATAATTGTTAATAGTAATAGGAATGTTGACAATGCTAATAATAACAATAGTAACATCATTAACAATGTTAATAATAGTAATAATACTGTTAATAGTAGCAGCAATGTTAATAGCAGTAGTAATGCTAATAACAGTAGTAATGCTATTAGTAGTAGTAATGTTAAGGTAAAGGTAATCCCCTGACATTAAGTCCAGTCATGTCTGACTCTGGGGTGTGGTGCTCATCTCCATTTCTAAGCCGAAGAGCCAGCGTTGTCCGTAGACACCTCCAAGGTCATGTGGCCGGCATGACTGCATGGAGCGCCGTTACCTTCCCGCCGGAGCAGTACCTATTGATCTACTCACATTTGCATGTTTTCGAACTGCTAGGTTGGCAGAAGCTAGGGCTGACAGCGGAAGCTCACGCCGCTCCCCGGAATCGAACCTGCGACCTTTCGATCAACAAGCTCAGCACCTCAGTGCTGTAACCCACTGCGCCACCGGGGGCTCCCGTAATGTTAACAATGCTAATAATAACAATAGTAATAATACTGTTAAAAGTAGTAGTAATAGTGGTAGTAGTAGTAATGTTAATAGAATACATTGCAGGGCCCTGCCTGAATTGTCTGATCTGGAGGTACACTAATAAATCTTTTAACACCCTCTCTACACAACATCTACACAAATGACCAGCCACTGCCAGAAGGGACAGAGAGTTTCATCTATGCTGATGATCGTGCCATTACCTGCTCAAGCAGGGAGCTTTGAGACGGTAAAACAGAAGCTCTCCGAAGCTCTAGGTGCTCTTACTGCCTATTACAGGGAAAACCAGCTGATCCCCAACCCATCTAAAACACAGACATGTGCCTTTCATCTCAAGAACAGAGAAGCATCCGAGCTCTGAGGATCACCTGGGAAGGAATCCCACTGGAGCATTGCAGCGCACCCAAATACCTGGGAGTCACCTGGACCGTGCTCTGACCTACAAGAAGCACTGCCTGAACATCAAGCAAAAAGTGGGTGCTAGAAACAATATCATACGAAAGCTGACTGGCACAACCTGGGGATCACAAGCAGATACAGTGAAGACATCTGCCCTTGCGCTATGCTACTCTGCTGCTGAGTATGCATGCCCAGTGTGGAACACATCTCACCACACTAAAACAGTGGATGTGGCTCTTAATGAGACATGCCGCATTATCACGGGGTGTCTGCGCCCTACACCACTGGAGAAATTACACTGTCTAGCTGGTATTGCATCACCTGACATCCGCTGGGAAGTAGCAGCCAATAGTGAAAGGACCAAGGCAGTGACATCTCCAGCTCATCCCTTGTTTGGGTATCAGCCAGCACGTCAACGACTTAAATCTAGAAATAGTTTTCTAAGATCTACAGAGACACTCGCTGGAACACCTCAGCAAGCAAGAGTCCAAAAGTGGCAGGCTCAAACCCAGAACCTCAACCAATGGCTGATACCGAATGAGAGACTCCCCCCTGGGCACACAGAGGACTGGGCGACTTGGAAGGCACTGAACAGACTGCGCTCTGGCACCACGAGATGCAGAGCCAACCTTCAGAAATGGGGCTACAAAGTGGAATCCTCGACATGCGAGTGTGGAGAAGAGCAAACCACTGACCACCTGTTGCAATGCAACCTGAGCCCTGCCACCATGGAGGACCTTCTTGCAGCAACACCAGAGGCACTCCAAGGGCCAGATACTGGTCAAAGGACATTTAACCAACTACCAAACCTGCAAACTTTGTGTTTTGTTTGTTTGTTTGCTTTGTTCTGTTAGTAATGTAATCTAATGGACTGGTTGCTCTGACACGAGAAAAACAAAAACAAAAAAAAACACCCTCTCGACACGTGTCAGGAGGTTCATACGAGCGGGTGGGCTGGCAGGCACTGAAGATGCAAAAAGCCCCGACCCGCCTATTGTGGATGAGCCAGGCTCGGATTGGCTGGCCTTCCTGGCGCAGAAGCCAATCAGCGCCGCGGACGCCGCTTCCGCGTTGAGAGCGTGGTGCTGAGTCACGAGGACAAGGAGGAAGTGGGGCTGGAACCCGGGCTGTGCGGATGGCTTCCTACTTCGAGGAGCACGACTGCGAGCCCGGGTCGGGGCCTCCCTCGGAGCAGATGCACCGCCAGGCACTGCTGGAGCTGGCCAGGTGGGCTGAGAGAGTGGCACTCCTGCCCAAGGGGCTTGCATGGCTGGAAGGAGGAGGAAGGGGGTTGCAATAATCATTACTACTACTACTACTACTACTACTACTACTAATAATAATAATAATATCATAAAGTGAAGGCAGACAACCCCCAGCTGTTCTCTGAGGCTGAGAGAGTGTGACTCCTGTCCAATGGGTTTGCAGAAAGGGGGATTATACAACCAGATATAATAATTATGCAAGGCAATGGTTTCAGTTGTTAGACTGAATAGCCTGTTATCTCTGATCTGTTAGGAAAACAGAGAGGGAATATTATTATTATTAATACTAATAATATAGTGTGTTATTATAACAGTGTTGATCTGTTAAGAAACAGAAAGGGAATATTATTATTACTAATATTAATAATATAGATTGAGGGCAGACTGACCCCAGTTGCTCTCTGAGGCTGAGAGAGTGTTGATCTGTTAGGAAAACAGAAAGGGGATATTATTATTAGTAGTAATAATAATATAAATTGTGGGCAAACAGACCCCTGTTGCTCTCTGAGGCTGAGAGAGTGTTGATCTGTTAAGAAAACAGAGAAGGAATATTATTATTATTATTATTATTATTATTAATAGTAATAATATAGATTGAGGGCAGACAGACCTCAGTTGCTCTCTGAGGCTGAGAGAGTGTTGATCTGTTAGGAAAACAGAAAGGGAATATTATTATTAGTAGTAATAATAATATAAATTGTGGGCAAACAGACCCCTGTTGCTCTCTGAGGCTGAGAGAGTGTTGATCTGTTAGGAAAACAGAAAGGGAATATTATTATTATTAGTAATAATAATATAGATTGAGGGCAGACTGACCCCAGTTGCTCTCTGAGGCTGAGAGAGTGTTGATCTGTTAGGAAAACAGAAAGGGGATATTATTATTAGTAGTAATAATAATATAAATTGTGGGCAAACAGACCCCTGTTGCTCTCTGAGGCTGAGAGAGTGTTGATCTGTTAGGAAAACAGAGAGGGAATATTATTATTATTATTAATAATAATAATAATATGGATTGAGGGCAGACAGACCCCAGTTGCTCTCTGAGGCTAAGAGAGTGTGAATTGCCCAATGGGTTTGCATGGCTGAAAGAATGGGGGATTCGAACCCAGGGCTACAGAGGGAATAATAATAATAATAATAATAATAATAATAATAATAATAATAAATAATAATATAGAGTGAGGGCAGACAGAACCCGGTTGCTCTCTGAGGCTGAGGGAGTGTGACTTACCCAGTGGATTTCCCTGGCTGAAGAAAGGGGGATTTTAATCCAGGGCTACAGAGGGAATAATAATAATAATAATAATAATAATAATAATAATAATAATAATAATAAAGAGTGAAGCAGGAAGACACCCAGTTGCTTTCTGAGGCTGAGAGAGTGTGACTTGTTCAATGTGCTTCCATGGCTGAAGAAGGGGATTTTAACCCAGGGCTACAGAGGGAATGATGATGATGATGATGATGATGATGATGATATAGGGTGAAGCAGGCAGACACCCAGTTGCTCTCTGAGGCTGAGAGAGTGTGAATTGCCCAGTGGGTTTGCATGGCTGAAGGACCCCAGTTGGTCATTGAGGCTGAGAGACTCCCTTTTCTGGCAACTGGATGGCCCTCTGCCGGGAAGGCTTGCATGCCACCTTCCTTCATCATCATAATAATGGCCAAAATGGGTTACTTATGGTTCTTTGGTTCTAGGTCCCTCTTCAACGGCCTGGAGATTGACCTGGGCTCTTTGGACAGTGGAGACTGGGAGCACCGGCTCCCTCCGCCAGCCGCCAAGAAGGCCGTGGACGACCTCCCCACGGTGCGGATCACTCCCATCCAAGCAGGTACTCTGGGCTGAGGGATGTCTCTGCATCCGTGGCCTTAGACTCGAGATAAAGGGACTCAGCTTTTGGAAAATGGCATTTATAACTTTTTGGAAAACACAATTTGGAGATCATAACCTTTTAGAAAAGTGTGACCTTTCAGAGAAGAGCCAAAAACTCTTTAGAGTGGAATCTTCTCTGGTGGTATACAACCAGATATACCGTGTATACTCGAGTATAAGCTGACCCGAATATAAGCCGAGGCACCTAATTTTCCCACGAAAAACTGAGAAAACGGATTGACTCGAATATAAGCTGAGGGTGGGAAATGCAGAGACTACTGGTAAACTGCAAAATAAAAATAGATACCAATTAAATTACATTAATTGAGGGATCAGTAGGTTATATATTTTTGAATGTTTACAAAAATGGTAATTTAAGATAAGACTGTCCAACTCTGATTAAATGATATGCCTTCTTCAATGTCAATGTGCTTACGTATCCTTCCAATAATAATATAGAGAGTAACATAATAAATGTAATAATAATATTAAAAAGAGTAAAATAATGATTGTAGCAATAACAACAATTATACAGTAAAATAATAAATGTATAATAATAGAGTAAAATGATAAATAGAATAATAAATAGAATAAAATAATAAATGAAATAATAAAAAAAATTATTATAAAATTTAGACTGATTGGGTTCTTTTTTATGACTACAAAAAAAAAATAGAAAAAAGAAGGAAAAAAGAAGAGGCAAATAATAACGAAACAAAAGATAAGAAGATCCTGAGATTGGAATGGAAGTCATTTTATTTTATTTTATTTCTTTTTCTTGTTTTTTTATTATTTTTATTTTTTGTTTTTATGGGTTTTTTTCTTTCTTTTTTTCCCTTTTCTCTCCTGATTGTATTTCCTACTTTTCTATCTTCTTCTTGAATATTCCCCCTCTTTCTATGTAGTTATGTTAGAAATTGATCAATAAAAATTTATTGAAAAAAAAAAACGAGAAAAATAATAATAATAATAATAATAATAATAAAAGGGTAAAATAATAAATAACCTTGACTCGAGTATAAGCTGAGGGGGACTGTTTCAGCCTAAAAAAGGGGCTGAAAAACTAGGCTTATACTCGAGTATATTTATTTATTTATTTATTTATTTATTTATTTGTGCTTCTACCCCGCCCTTCTCACCCCGGGGGGGACTCAGGGAGGCTTACAAAAGCGAGACACAATTCGATGCCCGCATCACAAACAGCAAAGGACAATAACAACAGTATATAATATCAACAATTATAACTAATTAAAACAGTCAAACAATATACTAGCAGCAATAAAATCATCTTGTGGTCAATGTTCGCCAATTCATAGTTCGTAATCCATCTAGCATCGTCATTATCCTTTCCTACTCTGGTCGTCATTGGTTGTCTTTGTCCATCTGCCAGCTTACCCGAAGGCCTGGTCCCACATCCAGGTTTTTAGCTTCCTTCTGAAAGCAAGGAGGGATGTATATACAGTAATTATGCAAGGCAGTGGTTTCAGTTGTTAGACTGAATAACCTGTTACCTCTGATCTGTTAGGAAAACAGAGATTTGCCAGTGCAGAAAAACAGCAGAGTTTCAGAAGTGTTTTTATTTCGGTGCCCAAAAATATTTATTGTGGCCCTTCACGTGCTCCCAGCCACTGCCCAAGCAAAATAAGGAATGCAGTCCAAAAAGCATTTGGAAGTCTGCGTCCGAGTGTCTTTGCTGGAGGTTTTTAAGCAGAGGCTGGATGGCCATCTGTCAGGAGGGTTTGGATGGTGTCTTTCTTCATGGCAGAAAGAAGGGGGGTTGGACTGGATGGCCTCTGGGGTTTCCTTCTAACTCTAGTGGAATATCGATTGCCTTGGAGTCTGTTTCATTCTCCTTCTCCAGATGTTCCCACTGAATGGCAGAAGGAGGTTGGGTTGGATGGCCTTAAAGGGACCCTTTCCAATTCTGTGATGGGTCCAGAGTTCCACAAGGGATCTGTAGGCCACAAAGATCTAACTCTGTGCCTTTTGCCCTTCCTTTGCTTCCTCAGACAAAGGCCTGAAGTGTCCCGTCTGCCTCCTGGAGTTCGAGGAGAGTGAAATGGCCCGCAGGATGCCCTGCCAGCACCTCTTCCATTCGGGATGCCTCCTCCCATGGCTTGGCAAGGTGGGAGCGACAGGTGGAGGGGGGCGCTGCAAGGGGGCTTGGAAAGGGGAAGTGAGGCTGGTTCCCTATATTAAAAATCCCTTTTTTCCCTTTATTATTAGACCAACTCCTGTCCGCTTTGCCGCCATGAGCTGCCCACGGACGACCAGGAATACGAAGAGTACAAGAAGGACAAGGTGAGCCACTTCTCTCTGGAAACTGATGGGAAATATCCTGTAGTCTTTCAAATACGAATAAATGATATTTAAAGACATAAGCAGAGGGAGGGCAACAAAATTTGCAATACGAGGCGCATTCATTAAAATTTCCCCTGACCGACTTCTATTTATCACAGGACGCTGAAACTGCACATGTGTAATGAGCTAAGTCTCTGTAGGTTAGGTGCCAATTTCTAACTCAGAACTGAGAACGGTCTTGATTTTTATTTATTTATTTCATACATTTCTACCCCGCCCTTTATAAAGACTACAAAAATGCTCTGGATTGAGATGTTACACGATCCACACCGCTGCAAACCAATTATAAAGTCATGCAGATGGCAATACGATCAATCCCACCATCTGACACCAATTATAAAGACTCCTTTATGGCTGTCTGGGCAGGGGCAAACAGATCCCACCAACTGTCCCTCCTTTTAATAAAGACTTCACTGGCACCTATATAACATCTGAGGAGATGACTCTCTATTTAACTTCCGCTGCCACCATAAGTATAAGTACAGGAGCACTCTAGCTGGTTAAACTGTTAAAAGGCTTTTCAGACCACCAAGTACTGTGTGTTTTCCTATGTGTTTGCTTATTTAAAGGGAAACAGGTGAGGTTGAAAAGGAAAGAACTATAGCCACAAAGGCACACTGGACTCAGGCTTTTAAGTTGTAAAATAAACAAGAAAAGTTTATTTAATATAGTACAGAAGAAAGTGTAAATGCTGTTTAATAGGCTTGGCTGTTACAGATAAAATGTTTTGGTTCTTGAAAGCGTAACGGTTGCATGAGAATGGTTCTTTCTTTGTTACAAATAGAAAACCCAGCTATTTCTTCCCTAAATAGCTGTACCCAGTTTGCCACAGCTCACTTGGCTGGCAAACTTCAGGCAAACTGCCTATTCCTAACACGAACTCCTAAAAACTTCTGTAATCCTGCTCTAACTCTAACATCAACAGACTGACTGACTAAAAAAGCTTCTTTCTTTCCCTCCAAACAGTCTAACTCCGCCCCCCCTTTAATAAACCAATCCTGGCTGCTCTAAGGCTGGCTCAGGCCTAGGCCACTCCCCCTCTCTGAAATGGAGCTTTCCCTAAACTAAAATGGCTCCTGCTGCCCTCTGCCAGGCCTTCTAAGGCTGAAACTAACTAGCCTGCCTCTCCTAGGCCCTGCCACCCAGGCTGGCAAGGTAAGGGATCTTCACACCTAACAACCACAAATTGAACCAATAAGCATCATATTATGCTATCAACACATACACCACAAGAATTACAATTAAAGCAATAAAAATCATTTTAAAACATTATACAAATTCATTAATAAATTCATTCAACAATAAATTAACGTGCCATTTAAAACCAAGATCAAGACGGGTAAATCCAATGTACCAAATTTCCTTTCCAATTGCCACTGTCCTCTAGTCGAACGCCTGGTCCCAAAACCAAGTCTTCAGTTGTCTTCTAAAGGACAGGAGGGAGATGGCCAACCTGATGTCCTTAGGGAGGGAGTTCCACAGACGGGGGGCCACTGCCAAGAAGGCCCTGTCTCTCAGCCCCACCAAACGCGTTTGCGAAAGTTTATAATAACACAATCGGTATGTAACCAGAATACGAGCCGTTTGGGAAAGGTCTGCTTTTTCCATCTAGGGCCAAAGCAGTTAGACATGTTTTCTCATTGGGATTTTGATTACATCTCACCTGAAAGGTGTAGTGAAAGGTGGGTGCTCTTGGACTTCTGTAGTCCAAGAGCACCCACAAACTGCATACATGACCATTTCTGGGGACTGCAGTTCTATATCAATATATGGCTGGATGGCTCTTTGTCAGGAGGGCTTTGATTACATTTTCTTGCCCTGGTAAAGGGAGTTGGACTGAATGGCCTTAAGTATTTTGTGTTGGTCATGGGGGTTCTGTGTGGGAATCTGCCCCAATTCTGTAATTTGTGGGATTCAGAATGCTCTTTGATTGTAGGTGAACTATAAATCCCAGCAACTACAACTCCCAAATGTCAAGATTCTATTTTCCCCAAACTCCACCAGTGTTCATATTTGGGCATATTGAGTATTGTGTAGAGTTTGGTCCAGATCCATCATTGTTTGAGTCCACAGTGATCTCTGGATGTAGGTGAACTACAACTCCAAAACCAAAGGACACTGCCCACCAAACCCTTCCAGTATTTTCTGCTGGTCATGGGAGAACTGTGTGCCAAGTTTGGTTCAATTCCATCATTGGTGGGGTTCAGAATGCTCTTTGATTGTAGGTGAACTATAAATCCCAGCAACTACAACTCCCAAATGACAAAATCATAATTTTTGAGTGATGGTCACTCCTTGTGTTGTGAGACGTTTTGTTGCCAAATTTGGTGTGATTTCGTTCATTGGTTCTTTTGTTTTTAAGGTACTCATGACGCACAGAGCATTTTTATATATATAGATATACTTATCTACTATGTATCTTTTTCATTCATTCCCTCTTTTTTCCACTGCGCAACCTTTCTACTATCTTAAGACACTTAGATCACTTTCCTGTGAACTGTTTCCAAGCCAGGCATCATCCCTCTTGTGTCTGTGCCTTTCGTTGTTATTGCCACGGTGTAGTATCTTACATGTCACTCTATTGCAATGCCTTCTTTGTGCTTTGCAGGTCCGGCGGCAGCAGCAGGCCCACCGGCTGGAGTCCCTGCATGGAGCGATGTACACGTGACAGAGGCCTCTCCTCTTCCTCTTCTTCCCTTTGGCTACTGGATCCGGTTTCTTTCTGGCCCAGTGGCCCAGCCTTTCCCATGGTGCTTGGGACCAGGATGACCACAAAGCGCAACATTTCCCAGCATCCCACCATTCGCTGGCAGTGCATCACAAATAAATACTTTTCCCCACTCATTCATGTCGCCTCCCATAATTGAGAACAGATATTATTATTATTATTATTATTATTATTATTATTATTATTATTATTAATATTGGGTTGTTGTAGGTTTTCCGGGCTATATGGCCATGTTCTAGAGGCATTTTCTCCTGACGTTTCGCCTGCATCTATGGCAAGCATCCTCAGAGGTAGTGAGGTCTGTTGGAAGTGAGAATGCTTCTGGAACATGGACATACAGCGTGGAAAACTCACCGCAACCCAGTGATTCCTGTCATAAAAGCCTTCAACAACAGATATTATTATTATTATTATTATTATTATTATTATTATTGACACAAAAGCACAGTATGTCACAGCAAACGAGATCTTAAAGCAAGGAAGAACCACCCAAATCTAACATGGAAATGACTGAGAACAGATATTATTATTATTACTATTATTACAGTAGAGTCTCGCTTATCTGGCATAAATGGGCAGGCAGAATGTCGGATAAACAAAAATGTTGGATAATACAGAGTCTCCAACTGTTACCCATCTGACACAGTGCTAGACACCTAGAATATTAATGGACTAAAAGAGTTAAAGCAAGGCAATGCTTCTGGGCTAGAGAGGCTCAAGATGCGGAAGAGAAGCGTGGAAATTACAGAGGGAAGGAAGGAGGATGCTTCTGCTTCCAGTCCTGCCTCTTTTCACCCTTTCCTCCTCCTCATCTTGCCTTTTTAACTTATTAGGAATGGAGAGAGTGTTGGAGAGCACACCTTTAACTGAAATGCTGGAGGAAAAGGGGGCCTTGGATAAGACGGAATGTTGGATAAGTGAGACTCTACTGTATTATTTATAGTACTAGCTGTACCTGGCCACGCGTTGCCGTGGCCCTCAGACAACAGAGGATTTGCAGACATGAAGCAATCTGGGATAGGGAACTCCTCCCATCAAAGGTTTCCTGCAGGTTAGTAGAAGCCAGGCTGTTAAGGTACAAGGTGGTATGGAAGATAAAGTAATGAGAAGCAGCCACTGAAGTTGCAAGGCTTTTCAGTTATATTCATGCTGGCCAAAACACTCAAAAAAGTCTCTTTGAAACAGAGGCTGGGTGGCCATCTGTTGGGGGTGCTTTGAATGTGATTTTCCTGCTTCTTCACAGAATGGGGTTGGCCTGGATGGCCCACCAGGTGTCTCCCAACTCTAGGACTCTCTGATTCTATATTCTTCTCTTCCCTTCACCAGTTTCCCCCCTTTCTTTCTTTCTTTCTTTCTTTCTTTCTTTCTTTCTTTCTTTCTTTCTTTCTTTCTTTCTTTCTTTCTTTGTTCCTTCCCTGCCTCTTCCCTTCCTTTCCTCTCCCATCCCTGCCTCCTTTCCCTTCCTTCCTTCCTCTTCCTTTCCTTCTACCTTTCCTTCCATTCATAATCTTCTCTTCACCAATTCTTTTCTTCCTTTCTTCTCTCCTTTCCCTTTCTTTCCCCTCCTTTCTCCGGGACAGTTTGTAAGGGTTTTTTCGGGTGGGGGTGAAAGGGATGTGGAGCCCAAATGGGAGAGTTGCTGGCCTTCCCATGGTTCACATACTCCCAACCGGGGGGGGGGGGGGGGGGGTGTGCAGCCGCTCCTGCAGTCAGGCTTGCCTTGCAATCCTCTGGTCTTGGGGAAAGAGTTACCTGGTAGCCACGTGGGCCTCATGGAGCCGCTGCGGTGGCTCCAGCTGCTGCCGGGGCTTGCATTGCCAAGCCCCCACTCCTCCATTGGGCCAGGCCTTCTCCTTCCCTCTTTCCTTTCCTCAATCCCTCCCCTCCCCAAAAGAAAAAGGACTCTGCCTTCCTGCATGGAAAGGGACTCCATGGTGAGGCTTCTCTTCCCTCACAATGGTTGGTGCTTCACTCTTCTCGCGTGATGGGGAGAGGGGCTTTTGCGCATGCTCTGTAAGGCATTTTTATTTTTGGGGAGTTTTAAGTTATTTCCCCTTAGTTTTTTATGGGTTTTTTGTTTGAAAGACATAGATCGGATTAGAATGTGTTTTTCGCCAAATTTGGTGTCAATTCGTCCAGTGTTTTTTAAGTTCTGTTAATCCCACAAACAAACATTACATTTTTATTTATATAGATTTGTATCCCCTCTCTCTCAAGGAGACTCAAAGCTCCACCTTAGGCAGCTTATGGCAGGGAGGAACCCCAAAGCCACCAAATCTGACATGGAAAGCACAGCCTTCTAGAGCTGGACTACAACTCCCACCATCCCTCCAAGCTAAGGAACGCAGCCCAAACTAAAGGAGTCCCGCAAAGAAAGACACACCAAGGCACTCCTCCAATACAACTCTTTTTATACACATTTTATATATAGCGAGAGATATATAAAAAAGTTTCTAAAAAATACTAAAACATCTCACCCAAACCATCCAGACCGAGGACAAGAGGTGCTCCTTCCTCTCTTCCTCCTCGGCATCCCAAACTGGAGACCTGCCTTGCTTGTGGGACGTTGGCGAATTAAGAAGGTGGCGGTGTAATGTGTCAGATACAAGGGGGTGGTGGGGGGCGTAACAGCAGCCCCACGGAAGTCCATTCTGGGGCATCTCTGTATCTGGAAGCACCCTGGTTTTGCTTGGCTAAACGTCAGGCCCAATTGTTACGATATATACAGGGTGTCCCAAAAAAAATGTATACATCCTTTGGAAGTTGATAGCTCAATTGATGTTGCTTTTTAGCCCAGGTTAAACCTATTGGAATTACTAATGGAAGTCATACTAAGCTTTGAACAAAGGAAATTCATTTTGAAATGCTCCTGGAAAAAAAACCCTCATCAATTGAGTGATTAGCTTTTAAAGTGTGTATACGGTTTTTTGGGACGCCCTGTATATACTACCATATTACTTCGATCCCAAGATGTACGCTTTCCCATAGAGCCACATCTCAAAATGGGATTCATCTGAGGGTTGCAATTTCTCTGCGCTTTGCAAATGGCACATTTTGAACTGCTGTTGTAGACTCATATAATGCAACTTAACTGCGCTGAACTGCATTATATGGCAGTGCAGACTCATATAATGCAATTTAACTGTGTTGAACTGCATTATATAGCAGTGCAGACATATAATGCAACTTAATTGCATTGAACTGCATTATATGGCAGTGCAGACTCATATAATGCAACTTAACTGTGTTGAACAGCATTATATGACAGTGCAGACTCATATAACGCAACTTAACAGCGTTGAACTGCATTATTTGACAGTGCAGACTCATATAACGCAACTTAACTGCATTGAACTGCATTATATGGCAGTGCAGACTCATATAATGCAACTTAACTGCGCTGAACTGCATTATATGGCAGTGCAGACTCATATAATGCAACTTAACTGCGCTGAACTGCATTATATGGCAGTGCAGACTCATATAACGCAACTTAACTGCGTTGAACTGCATTATATGGCAGTGCAGACTCATATAACGCAACTTAACTGCATTGAACTGCATTATATGGCAGTGCAGACTCATATAATGCAACTTAACTGTTGAACTGCATTATATGGCAGCGCAGACTCATATAATGCAACTTAACTGCGTTGAACTGCATTATATGGCAGTGCAGACTCATATAATTGAGCTGAACTGCACTATAGATTCATATAATGCAATAGAACTACACTGAACTGCACTGTATGGCAGTGTAGACTCATATAATGGAGCTGAACCGCACTGAATGGTAGTGCGGCCTCATCTAATGCAAGTGAACTGCATTGTAAATTCATATAATGCAACTGAACTGCACTGTATGGCAGTGTAGACGTAATGCAGCGGAACTGCATTGAATTGTAGTGCAGCCTCATATAGTGCAACTCAACTGCATTGTAGATTCATATAATCCAATTGAACTGCACTGTATGGCAGTGTACACTCATATAATTCAACTCAACTGCATTGTATGGCAGTGTAGACTCATAATGCAGCTAAACTACATTGTATGGCAGTGTACTCATAGTGCAACTCAACTACATTGTATGACAGTGCAGCCTCAAATAATGCATTTGAAATGCACTATAGACTCATATAATGCAACTCAACTGCATTGTATGGCAGTGCAGCCTCATATAATGCATTTGAACTGCACTGAATGGCAGTGTAAACTCATATCAGGCAGCTGAACTGCACTGTAGACTCAATGCATTTGAACTGCATTATGTGGCAGTGTAGACTCATAATGCAAGTGAACTGCACTGTAGATTCATATAATGCAATTGAACCACACTGTATGGCAGTGTCGACTCTTATCATGCAGCTGAACTGCATTGTATGGCAGTATAGATTCATATTATGCAGTTCAATGTAGCTAAACCACATTATAATGCCGTGCAGGTGGGGCCTCCGAATCGAAGAAATACAGTATATATGTGTGTATGTGTGTGTATTGGGAGGCCCCTTGGTTTGCTGACGTTCTGCTGGCTGACTCTGAGAAAGGGGCCAAAGTGGGGTCTGGCAGTGAGAGGCAATCCTTCCCTTTGACGGGCCTCCCTTCTGCACCCTGTATCCCACGGGAAGGATTGGAAAGGGGAGAGTCTCCCTTTGGCACTGACACACTGGGCCCTGCAAGGAAGGGGGGCAGAGCAGAAGGCTGCCATGATTCAGGAAGGACTTGCCATTATCGTGATGGAGGAAGAGGCAACGGCTTGGATCCTGCACTTTTGTGGTGCCGAAACCATACCCCTCTCACTTTGGAGAGCAAGGATCTGCATCCCGTGGCACCATGTTTACTCATTTGGAGCCAGCGATGGACAACAGGGTCCAGTGGCCTTGAAAGGCGGACAACTGTTGGCAAAACCCTTTTGATACAAAATTATAACAGGGTGGGAGGGAGGGGCAAAGGTGCTTCTCTCTTCCCCCATTGGGGGAAACTCTAGAAAGGCAGCCCCATGGGGGGTGTCCCTCTGTCCATATGTCCATCTTATCCCCCCCCCCCCCTTTCCCTGCTCAGATCATGGCGATGCTCTCGGGGTTGCAGTTGAGGTGCGTGGAAGTGCTGCTGCTGCCGGGGGATTTGCACCCACGGCCGTGGGCCTGCTGCAGGGCGGCCACCAGGGTCTCGGTGGAAACGGAGCCAAACTCGTAGGTGAAGGTGCCGTAGAAGACCAGGATGTCGATGACAAAGACCCATTCGCAGATGGCCGCCAGGTGCTGTAAGACGAAGCTCTCGTGGATGAAGAAGATGCCGCCTGAAAAGATGGGGAGGGGGCCCAGGTCAAGGAAAAGAACCCTTAACAAAACCACCGAGAGCCTTCTCTTGCGCAGGAAGACCCTGTTGGAAATATTAAAAATTAACTAGGTATTTTTAATTACAAAAATGTCAGTCAATGATTGAAAGGGTTAAATGGAGGCAGAGGCGGCCCTAGGTAATTTTCAATGGTAAGCAAACAGTATTTTGCCCCCCACCCCCACCCCCCAACCAATCACTGATATATATTTTCTGTTCGTCGTGGGAGTTCCGTGTGCCATATTTGGTTCAATTCCATCATTGGTGGAGTTCACAATGCTCTTTGATTGTAGGTGAACTATACATCCCAGTAACTACAACTTGCATATGTCAAGGTCTATTTTCCCCCAAGAGCGCCTCAAGAGTGCCCCTGGGCAAAGTCAACTATACTGCAAATGCTTACTTTGCGTAATGGGTTGAGCCACCCCTGAATGGAGGCGTGCCTGTAGCTTAGTAGCCTTCAGTCTGTGAGTGGTCTCTGTGGGAGAAAGCCTCAGTGTTAGTTCACCTCAGTGTGAGAAAGGCCTCAGTGTGAGAAGCTACAGTGAGAGAAGCTCCAGGTTGAAGGCCATCATGTGTGAAGCTCCAATATGACGGATGCTGTGTGTAAAAAGCTGCTGTGTGTAAAAAGCTACTGTGTGAAGTTCCTGTGTAACTTTGGTGTGAAAGGAGGCTCTGTGAGAGTGAAGCTGTTTATCTGCATGAGAAAGAAGCCCTGCATGCGGAAAGTACTTCTTTTGTTGAGAGGTGATTAGATGTCCCAGATTGTTTCCCCTCTGTTGTTTTGCTGTTGTAATTTTAGTATTTTTTAATATTGGTAGTCAGATTTTGTTCATTTTCATGGTTTCCTCCTTTCTGCTGAAATTGTCCACATGCTTGTGGATTTCAATGGCTTCTCTGTGTAGTCTGACATGGTGATTGTTAGAGTGGTCCAGCATTTCTGTGTTCTCAAATAATATGCTGTGTCCAGGTTAGTTCATCAGGTGCTCTGCTATGGCTGACTTCTCTGACATCTAATCACCACTCAACAAAATATTGCCCCAGGCACTGCCAGGCCATCAAATGCTAATCAAGGTGGTCAGTTGATACATTCACATCTAGTTCCAGCAGACAAGAGTTCTTTGTCCTACCCTGGTCATTCCGCAGATATATAAACCCACTTACCTAGTTCCAACAGACCTCACTACCTCTGAGGATGCTTCCCATAGATGCAGGCGAAACATCAGGAGACCATGGCCATATAGCCCGAAAAAACCTACAACAACCCACTACTTCCTCAGTGTCGCAGATGGACATTGAAGCGACAGCTCCCCTAGTGGCCAGAAAATTGGAATATTAAATAGCCTCTGACTGTCTGTCTATATGTGTTGTGTGTCTATGGCATTGAATGTTTGCCATATATGTGTACATTGTAATCTGGGGGTGAGAAGGGCGGAATATAAATACTGTAAATAAATAAAATAAACAAATAAATTTCAGCAAGGCTTTCACGGTCTCTTCTCTCAATCATCTCTCTTAAGCTAAATCTACCCAACTGTTCCTCAAAGGGGTTTGTTTTCAAACCTTTGGCCCTTTCAGCAGCCCTTCTCTGGAACCCTTCCAACTTGTCCCACACCTTCCTGCATTAAGACTCTTAGACCCCTTTCAGGCAAGGTTTCTCCCATTCTACTATCGATGCAACCGAGAATCACATTGGCCTTTTGAGATGATGGATGAAGAAGGATACTGAGGACGAGGGAGATTAAGGCCACGGTGTTGAGGAAGACACGGAGGTGTGCCATCCAGAAGTCCAGGGCGGAGGCGGCGGTGTGGTAGGAGAGGACGCACTGGAGGCAGACAAAGAGCAGCCCGGCCGGGAAGGCAACCCCGGCCCCAATGTAGTGAAGAGATTTGGCATAGTCCACCTGGAAGATCAAGCAGAGAGTCATCATTGGGAGGGACCCCCAAAGACCATCTAGTCCAGTGTTTCCCAACCTTCCTAATACAGCAGCCCCTTAATCTAGTTCCTCATGTTGTGGTGACCCCCAACCATAACATTAGTTTTGTTGCTACTCCATAACTATACTTTGCAATAATAATAATAATCATCATCATCATCTATATAAATAAAAATGTAATGTTCGTTTGTGGGATTAATAGAACTCAAAAACCACTGGACGAATTAACACCAAATTTGGACACAAGACACCTAACAACCCAATGTATGTCCTTCACTCAAAAAAATTGATTTTGTCATTTAGGATTTGTAGTTACTGGGATTTATAGTTCACCTACAATCAAAGAGCATTCTGAACCCCACCAATGATTAATAAAAATGTAATGTTAGTTTGTAGGATTAACAGAACTCAAAAACCACTGGACTAATTGACACCAAATTTGGACACAAGACACCTAACAACCCAATGTATGTCCTTCACTCAAAAAATTGATTTTGTCATTTGGGATTTGTAGTTAATGGGATTTATAGTTCACCTACAATCAAAGATCATTCTGAACCCCACCAACGATGGAATTGAACCAATCTTGGGATACAGAACTCCCATGACCAACAGAAAATACTAGAAGGGTTTGGTGGGCACTGATCTTGAGTTTGGGAGTTGTAGTTCACCTACATCCAGACAGCACTTTGGACTTAAACAATGATGGATCTGGACCAAACTTGGCACGAATATTCCATATGTCCAAATATGAACACAGGTGGAGTTTGGGGAAGATAGACCTTGACATTTGGGAGTTGCAGTTAATGGGATTTATAGTTCACCTACAATCAAAGAGCGTTCTGAACCCCACCAACGACAGAATTGGGGCAAATTTCCAACACAGAACCCCCATGACAACAGAAAATACTTCAGGTCATTCAGTCCAACTTCCTTCACCAAGGCAAGAAAACATGAAGCTCTCCTGACAAAGAGCCATCCAGCCATAGATATAGATGGATATGATTCACACACACACAGATATAATATCATAGATTTGAAAGGGACCCCTGAAGGACAATTATATGTTGTATGTTCCAGAGTGGGCAAACTAGACACTCTTCCACATCAACACTGACAAAGAAACAGCAAGAAACACTTTTTACCCACAAGAAGAAAGACATTACATATATTAGAAACCAACACCTTCTCATTACTTTATTTTCCAGATCACCAGACTGGGCCACAGCAACGCGTGGCAGGGGGTGACTAGTGATAAATAAAAAATAAATCCCACCTGGAAGTTGCCCACCATGACCAGGCCAGCAGCGTTGGTGCAGCCCGTGATGAGGGCTGTAGTGTTCACCCAGGAGCTGTGGCTCTGCTCAACCAGCTGTCCATAGCGCAGGAAGCAGATCATGACCACTGCAGAAGAGGAGGAGAGCAACACAGAGGAGACGGAGGGCAGAGGGTCAGGAGGAGGAGGAGAGAAAGGACAGGCAGCTCCAGGAAGGTGTATTATCAGCCGTTCCATTCCGTCCAGAATGGCTCTACCTCTGATCCATTGTCCAGGTTCTCCCCGTCCTCCAACGTTTTCCTATACAGGCTGCCCCAACTTACAAACATCTCATAGTTACAAACAGGGCTGAGATCACAGAAAGTGAGAGAAATTCCTCCCTCCCCCTCGGAAAGAAGAGAAATACACCCCTGGACGAATTACTACCAGGGAAAGGGTGTTTTATCTCCAATCCTTGTTTCCACCACAAGAAACATTTCCCAAAACCCAATGATCTCAGGAACAGAAAGTGAGATCTTCTTGGCTGCTGTGAGTTTTCTGGGCTGTATGACCATGTTCCAGCATCATTCTCTCCTGACGTTTCACCCACATCTATGGCAGACATCCCCAGAGGTTCTGAGGTCTGTTGGAAACTAGGCAAGTGGGGTTTATATATCTGTGGAATAATGTCCAGGGAGGGAGAAAGAACTCTTGTCTGCTGGAGGCAAATGTGAATGTTGCAAATGACCACCTTGATTAGCACTGAAGAGCCTTGCAGCTTCAAGTATATGCCATCAGCTGGAGACCCCTCTCCCCAGCACCAACTGTCACTCTGGGCCAGAGTGAAGAGAGAGGGGGCCAGGGGACAGTTCCACCTTGACTCCTGTGCTATTCTAATAATAATAATAATAATAATAATAATAATAATAATAATAATATATTGTATATACATATAATTATATTGTATATACATATAGTATTTATAATATTATAATGTAATGCAATATAATAATAATAATATATTATAATTATAGATTTATATTATTATTATTATTATTATTATTATTTTATTATTATTTCTCGCACTTCTACTCTGCCCTTCTCAACCTCCGAGGGGGGACTCAGGGCGGCTTACAAAAAGGCACAATTCGATGCCAGCACAACAACAAGGTAAAAAATAAAACATATAAACAGTAATTAAAACAATTACATGTAATATTACTAATAATATTACAATATAGTGGTATGGTGCAATATAGCAGTATTTAATGCTGATATTGTACTATGCTAATAATATATTGTATGCAATATATTTCTTGTAAGCCGCTCTGAGTCCCCTTCGGGGTGAGAAAGGCGACATATAAATGCCGCAAATAAATAAATAAATGAATAAATAAGGCTTGGCTGCTTCATGCCTGGGTGAATCCTTTGTTGGGAGGTGATTAGCTGGCCCTGATGGTTTCTTGTCTGGAATTCCCCTGTTTTTGAGTGTTTCCAAAAGCCCTCACAAACTCTGAGGATGCCTGCCATAGATGTGAGCAAAACATCTGGAGAGAATGCTGCTGGAACATAGCCATAACGCCTGGAAAATTAACAGCAACCCATATTAATCTTCCTTCAACTTTTGACCGGCAGACGTGAAATGCGCATTGGTGGGAGGATATCCCGTCCCCACAATGAGGTTTCCTGCCCTCCCCTTGAAGGCCAGGGAAATAAACACACTGAAGAATTAATGGCTCCCTTGGGTCTTAGCCGGATGACGCCTGAGGAAGGGCAAGCTTGAAACCGGTTTAGCCGGATCCAGAATGGGATTGGGAAGGAGGGAGGTCACAGGGGACGATGCTTTTTATTTGGGGTGGCAGGGAGGCACGACTTACCCATGAATGCTCCAATATTCCCAATAAGGCTGAAAAGGCAGCTTTCAGGAGGGTAGGTGCCACATTTGCTGCAAGAGAAAGGGAGAGAAGTCCTGGTAAACAAGCAAGCAAAGTCCAATGGCTGACACTCAGGCTTGAGCGGAGCTGAAAGGGGCCCCCTAATGTGGATCCAGACCCCAGCAATAATAATAATAATTATAATAATTATTATTATTAGACTAGCCATCCAGTGTCATGTGTGGCTGTGGCCGTCTGTGTATTTGTGTTTTGTTTGTGTATATATGTGTGTATGTATATATATATTCGTGTATATGTGTATATATGTGTGTTTGTGTATATATGTAGTGTTGTGATAGAGTCTGCTGGTAATGATAGGGTAATTACCTGTATTGGCTGGCGTCTGACCTTGACATGTAGTTTTGTGCATGGGTTGTAATGTAAATTTTTTTGGCTTTTTAAGTCTCTTCTGCTGTGTTTTCAGTGTTTTTCTGAGTGATGGTCATTACCAGCTAACAGATGGTAATTTTGTCAGCGCCGATTGTTTTTAAGTGCAGGCTAAGGTCTTGAGGCACTGCACCCAGTGTGCCGATCACCACTGGAACTGCTCTTACTGGCTTGTTCTTGTTGTTATTACTATTATTATTATTATGTGATACACAACAAGATTATTAGACAGCAAAAAAAAAAAAGATCACTATGCTGGCTTCTGTATTGGATCCGACGTCGGATACTTCCCAAATATCTACAACTAGTGACACTTATCGGCGAATAATGCATGCAGATCCAAGTAGGGTGGCCTTTTGCAGCTGACAGATGGTAATTTTGTCAGCACTGATTGTTTTTAAGTGCAGGCCAAGGTCTTGAGGCACTGCACCCAGTGTGCTGATCACCACTGGGTCCGCCCTTACTAGCTTGCTTTTGTTGTTGTTATTACTATTATTATTATGTGATGCACAAAAAGATTAGTACACAGCAAAAAAGATCAATATGCTGGCTTTGGTATTGGATCTGACGTCAGATACTTCCCAAGTAAATACAACTACGTGACTCTTATTGGTGAATAATGCACGCAGATCCGAGTAGGGTGGCCTTCTGCAGCTGACAGGTGGTAATTTTGCGCCGATTGTTTTTAAGTGCAGGCCAAGGTCTTGAGGCACTGCACCCAGTGTGCTGATCACCACTGGAACCACCTTGACTGGCTTGTGCCACTTTGCAGTTCGATCTTTAAATCCTCATATCACATAAATGTTTAAATTATTATTATTATTATTATTATTATTATTATTATTATTATTATTATTATTAACATTGCAGATGCAATGGTCCTTCACCTGATCAAAGGGACGTCTTCCAGGGTGCAGCAGGTTTTGGGGTAGCCATGTTTGGCAGGGTCACCGGCACAGGACTCATTGTAGGACCTGCAACGAGTGCGAGAGATCAGTAGGGAGCGGGAGAGGAGAAATGCCCAGGCTTGGCCCAGGAGTACACTGTTCTGCACAAAGGAGTCGCTCACCAGTTCTCAACGGGGCAGACGTGGTGGTTCATCACCGCCATGGCATACCTGCAAATGGAACACAAAGAGACAGCGAGTGACACATTAGGTAAACAGCAAGGAAGGAATCCCCAAATGCTACCTGATTCTGTGTGGCTCCAAAGATGATGCACACCGCCTTCTGTGTTCTGCACAAACTCAAAACAAACCAACTACTCCTGATATGTTTGAACACCACAAAATGGGGCAATATCTGCTAGGAATGTCACTTTGCACAACCATTGGTAGGGTGTCCACATGAATTAGCAGAACCATGATATCCCAAATTTAGGGACAATACAGTATTATTTATTTATTTAAAATATTTATATCCCGCCCTCAAAACTAGCCTCCTCTATGTTCCCCTCTGATATTTAGAGATGGGTTGTCGAAGGCTTTCATGGCCGGAAACACTGGGTTGCTGTGAGTTTTCTGAGTTTTATGGACATGTTCCAGAAGCATTCTCTCCTGACATTTTGCCTACATCTATGGCAGGCACCCTCAGAGGTTGAATGGTCTGTTGGAAACTAGGCAAGTGGGATTTATATATCTGTAGGATAATGTCCAGGGTGGGAGAAAGAACTCTTGTCTGCTTGTGGCAGGGGTGAAGGTTGTAATTGGCCACCTTGATTAGCATTTCATGGCCTTGCAACTTCAATGCCTAGCTGGTTGCTGCCTGGGGGAATCCTCTGTTGGGAGTTGATTAAATGGTCTGGAATTCCCCTATTTTTTGAGTGTTGCTCTTTATTTACTGTCCTGATTTTAGCATTTTTTAAATACTGGTGGTCAAATTTTGTTTATGTTCGTTTCCTCCTTTCTGTTGAAATGGTCCACCTGCTTGTGGATTTCAATGGTCCTTCCTTCCTACTTTCCTCCCTCTCATTTTTCTTTTTCCTTTCTTTCCTTCTGCCTTTCCTTCATCCTTCCCTTCCTTCCTTCTCTTCCTCCCTTTTTTATTCCTTCCTCCTTCGCTTCCTTCCGTCCTTTTTGCCTTTCCTTCCTTCTCTTTCCTACCCCCCCTCCTTCTTTCTCCATTCCCTTCCACCCTTCCTTCCCTTCCTCCTTTCCTTCTTCCTTCCCTGTCGTCCTTCCCTCCCTTTTGTCTTCCTACTTACCTTCCTCTTTCTCCTTCCTTCCTTTTGTATTTCCTTCTCTTTCCTTTATCCATCCTTCCATCCGTTTCTTTTTTCTCTTTTTCCTACCTTCCATCCTTCCCTTCCACCCTATTATACTTCCTTCCTTCCCTTTTGTCATTTCCTTTCTCCCTTTTTCTCCTTCCTTCCTTTCCATCCTTTCCTTTTGCCTTGCCTTCCTCCTCCCCTTCCTTCCTTCAATCCTTCCCTTCCACCCTATTCTTTCCTTCCTCCTTCCCTCCCTCTTTCTCCTTCCATTCTTCCCTTCCACCTTATGGTCCTTCCTTCCTCCTTTCCTCCTTCTTTCTCCTTCTGTCTTTCCTTCCTTCCCTTTTCTTTATCCTTCCCTTCCTTCCATCCTTCTCTTCTTTGGAAGCATTTTTTAAAAAGCTTCTTTGGAAGCTTTTAAACAGAGGCTGGATGGCCATCTGTCGGGGGTGATTTGAATGCAATATTCCTGCTTCTTGGCAGGGGGTTGGACTGGATGGCCCATGAGGTCTCTTCCAACTCTTTGATTCTATGATTCTTCCACCCTATTGTCCTTCCTTCTTTTTTGTCTTTCCTTTCCTCCCTCCTTCCTTCTCTCCCTCTTTCTCCTCCCATCCTTCCCTTCCTCCATTCTCTCCTTCCTTCGTTCCTTGCATCACTGGGTAGCCAGTCCTCTTAGCAGGGAGTGCTGGCATGCAGGTCTCCAAGTTAGAAAGTTTGCCCAGACCTGGTCTACATCAATGCTTCAGCCCCCTGCTACTTCCATGCCCACACCTCCCTTTTCCTCTTCCTTCCTTCCTTCCTTCCTTCCTTCCTTCCTTCCTTCCTTCCTTCTTCCTTCCTTCCTTCTTTCCTCCCTCCCTCCCAGATCCCATTGGGAAGCCAAAGGGTCTCTTACACGATCCATATCCCTGTGATTGAGAAGGCAGAGAGGCTAATGGGGAGAACGATCCACGCTGTCATTAGTGAGTGGAGGTCCACAGCGTCCACCGTGTGGGGAGGGGAGACTGAGAGCGGGAGAGGGGGGAGGAAGGGGAAGGGGAAGGGAGGGGGAGGAGAGGGGAGGGAGGGAGGGAGGGGAGAAAAGGGGGTGCGGCTACGACGCAAAGCCTCCTTCCGAGGGAACCATCCGAAGGCAGCTCCTGCAAGAGAAGAGGCAGAGAATGATTAGGGACACAGGGAACCCTGAGGAACTTGCCGTTGCTGCCTCTGTTTCCTAGATCTATGCCACTTGGCTTGTAGGCCGTCCTCGAGTTACAAACATCCGACTCACAGTTAAGAACAGGGTTGAGACAACAGGAAGTGAGAGGAATCAGAATTGGACCACACCTGGAATATTGTGTCCAATTCTGGGCACCACAATTCAAGAGAGATATTGACAAGCTGGAATGTGTCCAGAGGAGGGTGACTAAAATGATCAAAGGTCTGGAGAACAAGCCCTATGAGGAGCGGCTTAAGGAGCTGGGCATGTTTAGCCTGAAAAAGAGAAGGCTGAGAGGAGACATGATATCCATGTATAAGTGAGAGGAAGCTACAGGGAGGAGGGAGCAAGCTTCCTGGGAGACTAGGACACGGAACAATGGCTTCAAACTACAAGAGAGGAGATTCCATCTGAACATTAGGAAGAACTTCCTGACTGTGAGAGCCGTTCAGCAGTGGAACTCTCTGCCCCGGAGTGTGGTGGAGGCTCCTTCTTTGGAAGCTTTTAAGCAGAGGCTGGATGGCCATCTGTCAGGGGTACTTTGAATGCAATATACCTGTTTCTTGGCAGGGGATTGGACTGGATGGCCCATGAGGTCTCTTCCAACTCTTTCATTCTATGATTCTTTGATTAATGTTTCTCTTCTTCTAGCCCTCTCTCTATCTCCTAATTTCATGGGCAGGCCAAGCCTGTCCTCCAAATTTAGCCCAGGCCTGCTCCAAAGAGAGGTCTTGCCAAAACTGCAATTCCAGGGGAAGAGGAAGCTGTATCCGGTTGCAAGGGGCTACAGGACTACATTCCCCGTCATTGTTGCAATTGTTATTCCAGTGTTGTTCTTGTTGTTGTTATTATGTTCATTTATATTATCATGTTATTGTTGTTATTGTTATTCCAGTGTTGCTACTGGTCTCTAATATATTTAATTTCATAATGCTTGCGGGTATACAATATTTGTTGTTGTGCCACTGTCTGTGCAGATATAAAGATTGTCTGGTGTGCTGATTGTCTGGTGTGCTGACATGTAATATAGTTGTCTATGTGCGAAGCAATCCGTGTCTAGATCTAAACCGCACAATTCTAAAGTTTAGCCCTGAGCTTCGTTGACGGTGATTGCAAATGCCAATCGAATTGGGAATTGCAATCTTTTAAATTGAAATGCCCCCTTCAGGACAGAGCGAGCAGCACCGGCGCTGTGAGAAAAGCCTTAGTGTGTGAAATACGCCTCTGAGGTAGGCCTTAGTCTGTGAGAGAAGGCCTCACAGTGTGAGGTAGGCCTTAGCCTGTGAGAGAAGCTTCTGTGTGAGGTAGACCTTAATCTGTGAGAAGGCCTCACAGTGTGAGGTAGGCCTTAGTCTGTGAGAGAAGGCCTTACAGTGTGAGATAGGCCTTAGTCTGTGAGAGAAGCTTCTGTGTGATATAGACCTTAATCTGTGAGAAGGCCTCACAGTGTGAGGTAGACCTTAGTCTGTGAGAGAAGTTTCTGTGTGAGGTAGACCTTAGTCTGTGAGAGAAGTTTCTGTGTGAGTTAGACCTTAATCTGTGAGAAGGCCTCACAGTGTGAGGTAGGCCTTAGTCTGTGAGAGAAGTTTCTGTGTGAGTTAGACCTTAATCTGTGAGAAGGCCTCACAGTGTGAGGTAGACCTTAGTCTGTGAGAGAAGTTTCTGTGTGAGGTAGACCTTAATCTGTGAGAAGGCCTCACAGTGTGAGGTAGGCCTTAGTCTGTGAGAGAAGCTTCTTTGTGAGGTAGACCTTAATTTGTCAGAGAAGCTTCTGTGTGAGATAGACCTTAATCTGTGAGAGAAGGCCTCACAGTGTGAGGTAGGCCTTAGTTTGTGAGAGAAGGTCCTCACAGTATGAGGTAGGCCTTATTCTGTGAGAGAAGGCCTCACAGTGTGAGGTAGGCCTTAGTCTGTGAGAGAAGCTTCTGTGTGAGGTAGACTTTAATCTGTGAGAGAAGGTCTTACAGTGTGAGGTAGGCCTTAGTCTGTGAGAAGCTTTGGTGAGAGAAGCTTCAGTGTGAAGTCTGTCATGTGTAAAGCTACTGTGAGAAGCTCCTGTGTAAGATCAGTGTGAGAGGAAGCTCTCTGAGAGTGAAGCTAGAAGCTGTTTATCTGTATGAAAAAGAAGCCCAGCGTGGAAGCAAAGACGGAAGTATAAAGAATTTTTTACTTTCCTTTTGTCTATCGACTCTTTTATCCAAGATGTATTACCTTCAACAACAAAAGTAAGCTTTTATCCTCTTCTGAAGCTTTACCTGTGTCTTTTCCTCCTGTTTCCTACCAGAAACACAGGTACAACCCTGGCTATGCTGCGCTCTGCTATAGAGACCAAATATTCCGGCGTCTCCAACCACCCGTTCCTCTTCTCTCCTTGATTCACCCTTGATGGGATTGCAATGGTAAATAAAGAAAGGTTCAAGGGACATTGAAAGGAAAACATCCTCCCCTTGGCTTGTTTTCCTAGGAAGGAGCAGGAAAATTCTTATAGCTCTCCAATTTGGGCAAAGCAGGACAATTCCTATAGCTCCCCAATGCTAATAATAATAATAATAATAATAATAATAATCTTTATTTGTACCCCGCTACCATCTCCCCAAGGGACTCGGTGCGGCTTACATGAGGCCAAGCCCACAGCACATCAATAAACAAAGGCGATAACAAATAATCAATACAAAACAGTTAAAATAAAATAAAATAAAACTCAAAAACAAAAAATACACAATAAGCAATATCAATAACAATAACATACAGCATTTAAAAACCTAAGGCTGGGCCAAATGTAATAATTAAAATTTAAAATGCTGGGCATGAACAAGGTAAGGTAAGCTAGGATAGGGTTTTCAAAGAAAGATGAGGGCGCGCAGACAATCCTAAGTCAATATTAAAGTGCATTTGAGGACATGTTGCTAAGAGTTTTCCTATTCTGGGAAGGCACACTGGAACAACCACGTTTTCAGGCTCCTCCTAAAGACTGCCAGCATTCGGGCATCTCTGATGTCCTTAGGGAGTGAATTCCAGAGTCGAGGGGCCACCACCGAGAAGGCTTCCTCCCTCGTCCCCAACAATCGTGCCTGCAAAGGAGGTGGGAGCGAGAGCAGGGCCTCTCCAGGTGATTGAAGAGATTGTGTGGGTTCGTACACAGAAATGCTTACAGGGCAAGAAGGGGCAGCGGAGGGAGAGGACCCTTCCTCAAACCATTAGACCAGGCAGGGGAAAACTTCAGCCCTCCGGGTGTTTTTGGACTTTAACTCCCACAATTCCTAACAGCCGGTAGGTGGCACAGCAGGTTAAACTGCTAAGCTGCTGAACTTGCTGACCGAAAGATCGGTGGTTCGAATCTGGGTAGTGGGGTGAGCTCCCGCTGTTAGCCCCAGCTTCTGCCAACTTAGCAGTTCGAAAACATGCAAATATGAGTAGATCGATAGGTACCGCTCCGGCAGAACATGCAAATGTGAGATCAGTAGGTACTGCATGGGGCTCTCTTGCAGGAAAGTAACAGCGCCCCATGCAGTCATGTCAGCCACACGACCTTGGAAGCGTCTAAGGACAACGCTGGCTCTTCGGCTTAGAAATTGAGATGAGCACCACCCGCCAGAGTCCCAACACAACTAGACTTAATATCAGAGAAAGCTTTACCTTTACTTTACTATGACCAAAATATCCCTCCTCCAAGGTTGTTGTCCTTCCCAACAACGGACTCTTGCCTCCCTCGAAGGTGACAAGATGGCCAGCAACCGGGATCACAAGGCCTCCTTCCCCTCTGAAGCTTTCCTTGTGAGTGGAAAAACTGGCTAGGTGCCACCCGATAAACAAAACCAGCCTCCAGGCCCCCAAAGATAGTCCCATTTGGTCCATGTTCCGTATGAAGGCTCCTGGCAAAAGGAGAGACCAATGCGTTTCCCAGGAGAGCATAGCTCCCAGGCACCACAAAGCGTATCATCCCCAGGAGACTGGTTTGGCACCTCCAAAAACCGGTTTCGCTGGAATGCAGCCAATCTGCCAGAGAAAACACCAGAGCTTTGGGGGCCTTCAGTCCTACAGGTGATTTTGGCTTATTGGCTGTTAGGAATTGTAGGAGTTGAAGTCCAGGACGGAAGTTTGTCCATGCCTGCTATTGAGAGTATCCTAATCTACTGCATGGTTTGGTAACGGCACAGTGGCAGACAGAAATGTGTTCCAAAGGGTCACCACTTCTGCACAGAAAAGCATTGGTTGCCCTCTTTGGAAGGCAAGAGAGCGGTCATCCCCCCTGTTTAAGGAGCTCTATTGGCTGCCGTTCATTTTCGGATCCCAATTCAAGGTGCAGGTTCCGACCTACAAAGCCCTGAACGGTTTGGGACCCGCCTACCTGCGTGATCGCTTTCTGTGTAAGAACCCATACGATCTTTTTGTTCATCTGGGGAGGCCCTACTCTCGCTCCCACCTCCCTCGCAGGTGCAATTGGTAGGGATGAGGGAGAGGACCTTCTCGGTGGTGGCCCCCCGACTCTGGAACTCACTCCTCAAGGATATCAGACAAGCCCCCACATTGGCAGTCTTTAGGAGGAGCCTGAAAACGTGACTGTTCCAGTGTGCCTTCCCTAAATAAAGGAAACAATCCCCTGCAAATACTCTGAGAAGCACTTTAATTACCTGTTGGGTTGCTCTTTACTTTTGATTTAAAACCCTCCTATTAGATACACCTTCTGTTCATGTCCAGCATTTATTTTTAAAGTTTTAACGATTACATCTGGCCCAGCCATAGGTTTTTTAATTCTTCTGTGTTATTGTCTACTTGTGAGTTATATTAATTGTATTGTTTATTTTATTTATTGCTTGTTGTTTCGTTATTGCTTGTTGTTTTTGATGTGTTGTTGGGCTTGGCCTCATGTAAGCCGCTCTGAGTCCCTTGGGGAGATGGTGGCGGGGTATAAATAAAGTATTATTATTATTATTATTATTATTATTATTATTATTATTATTATATGTGATCTATATTAATTGTATTGTTTTTGTTTCTTGCTTTCTTGTTTTATTGATGTGTTGTTAGGCTTGGCCTCATGTAAGCCGCTCCGAGTCTCTTGGGGAGATGGTGGCGGGGTATAAATAAAGTATTATTATTATTATATGTGATCTATATTAATTGTATTGTTTTTGTTTATTGCTTTCTTGTTTTATTGATGTGTTGTTGGGCTTGGCCTCACATAAGCCGTTCCAGGTCCCTTGGGGAGATGGTGGTGGGGTATAAAAAAGTATTATTATTATTATTATTATTATTATTATTATTATTAGCCCAGAACACTAAGTTGCTGTGAGTTTTCCAGGCTGTCTGGCCATGTTCCAGAAGCATTCCCTCCTGATGTTTTGCCCACATCTGAGGGGTCTGTTGGAAACTACCCAAGTGAAATGTATATATCTGTGAAATGTCCAGGGTAGGAGGAAGAACTCTTGTCTGCTTGCATGTCCTCAAATGCACTTTAATATTGATTTAGGACTGTCTGAGCGCCCTCATCTTTCTTTGAAAACCCTATCCTAGCTTATCTTACCTTGTTCATGCCCAGCATTTTAAATTTTAATTATTACATTTGGCCCGGCCATTGGTTTTTTAATGCTGTACGTTATTGGTATTGATATTGTTTATTGCTTACTGTGTATCTTTTGTTTTTGAGTTTTTATTTTATTTTAACTGTTTTGTATTGATTATTTGTTATCGCCTTTGTTTATTGATGTGCTGTGGGCTTGGCCTCATGTAAGCCGTGGGGTACAAATAAAGTTTTACTATTATTATTTGGAGCAGGTGTAAATGTTGCAATTGTCCAGCTTGATTAGCACTGAATGTCCTTGCAGCTTCAAAGTGTGGCTGCTTCCTGCCTTGGGGAATCCTTTGTTGGGAGGTATTAGCTGGTCCTAATTGCATCATGTCTGGAATTTCCGATTTTTTAGTGTTGCACCATGTCAGAGTACACAGAGAAGCCACTAAAATTCACAAGCATATGGACAATTTCAACAGAAAGGAGGAAACCATGAAAATAAGCAAAATCCAGCTGTCAATATTTTAAAAAACTCTAAAATTCGGACAGTAAATAAAGAACAACGCCTGCTCTGACGTCTCAGGAGCTCAACAGGCTCCTATGATAATTAAGAGCCAAGATCCACAAAGATCCACATTCTCTGTTTCCTAACTCATGTGACATCCTCCAGCAGATACTTTCCCTGTATATTTCGCATAACAAACACCCAGAGGACATTGCTGTGTATTTATATCTCAGGTCAGCTCTTCCTCAAAGCTTCCAGACTTTCATGGGGTGAGACAGATTCCTTTTGTTTTCCCCTTTTCCCATTGCTAAACATTTCCCATCCGGTTTACAGCTGTACCGTCGCCAAGAAAAGCTGCTCAAACTCAATTTTCGAAGGCAACATTCCATAATACCAAGCCTCCTGCTATGATTTTTAAAAGTCCATAATTTGCAATTTGGAAGTCAGTTTCAGGCGGAGGCACAGGACTTTGGGTTTGTCCACACTGCTGAATGAATGCGGTATGACACTGTTTAACTGCCATGGCTCAATGATGTCAAATCCCAAGAGTTACAGTTTTGCAAGATCCTTTCCTGCCAAACTATTACTATTATTATTATTATTAGCCGCCCCCTGCCATGCATTGCTGTGGCCCACATGGGGGTTCTGTGTGGGAGGTTTGGCCCAATTCTACCGTTGGTGGGTTTCAGAATGCTCTGTGATTGTAGGTGAACTATAAATCCCAGCAACTACAACTCCCAAATGTCAAGATTCTATTTTCCCCAAACTCCACCAGTGTTCGCATTTGGGAATATCGAGTATCCATGTAGAGTTTGGTCCAGATCCATCATTGTTTGAGTCCACAGTGATCTCTGGATGTAGGTGAACTACAACTCCAAAACGAAAGGACACTGCCCACCAAACCCTTCCAGTATTTTCTGTTGGTCATGGGAGAACTGTGTGGGAAGTTTGGTTTAATTCCATCGTTGATGGGGTTCAGAATGCTCTTTGATTTTAGGCGAACTATAAATCCCAGCAACTGCAACTCCCACATGACAAAATCAATTTTTTTAGTGAAGGACATACATTGACCTGATAGGTGTCTTGTGTCCAAATTTGGTGTCAATTCATCCAGTGGTATTTGAGTTCTGTTAATCCCACAAACGAACATTACATGTTTATTTATATAGATGTTATTGTTGCTATTGTTATTCCATTGTTGCTATTGTTGTTATTATTATGTTCATTTAAATTATTGTTGTTATTGTTGCTGTTGTTATTCCATTGATGCCACTGTTGTTATTATGTTCATTTATATTATTATGTTATTGTTGCTATTGTTATTCCATTTTTGCTACTGTTATTATGTTCATTTATATTATTATGTTATTGTTATTCCAGTGTTGCTATTGTTGTTGTTATTATTATGTTCATAGAATCATAGAGTTGGAAGAGACCTCATGGGCCATCCAGTCCAACCCCCTGCCAAGAAGCAGGAATATTGCAATCAAAGCACCCCTAACAGATGGCCATCCAGCCTCTGTTTAAAAGCTTCCAAAGAAGGAGCCTCCACCACACTCCGGGGCAGAGAGTTCCACTGCTGAACGGTTCTCAGAGTCAGGAACTTCTTCCTAATGTTCAGATGGAATCTCCTTTCTTGTAGTTTGAAGCCATTATTCCGTGTCCTGGTCTCCAGGGAAGCAGAAAACAAGCTTGCTCCCTCCTCCCTGTGACTTCCTCTCATTCCTTCATTCAAATTATTGTTATGTTAGTGTTGCTATTGTTATTCCAGTGTTGTTATTGTTATTATCATGTTTACTCATACCCCACTTTTTTCTCCACAAGGAGTCTCAAAGCAGCCTGCAGTTTAAAATATAACATTAAAACAGAATTAAATATCAGTGGTTGCCTGGAGGATGCCTCCAGGCAACAAAGCCCAGGCTAACTCTATGCAGAGACCCTCACTGATTGACTTTGCAGTTTCATGGCTACTCAATGCTATTCAGGGTTGCTAATTACAACAATCACACTTGCTTTAAACAAACAAGGGTTCTTACTCCCACCCTGGGCATCATTCCACAGGTATATATTTTTAAATTCTTGTGTGTTATTGTCTAAGTGAGTTATACTAATTGTATTGTTTATTTTGCTTATTGCTTGTTATTTTTATTGATGTGCTGTTGGGCTTGGCCTCATGTAAGCCGCTCGGAGTCCCTTGGGGAGATGGTGGCAGGGTATAAATAAAGTATTATTATTATTATTATTATTATTATATCATTATATACACTCCAATTGCCTCATTTCCAACAGACCTCATAACAAACCTCTGAGGATGCCATTAGCCACAGATACAGGTGAAATGTCAGGAGAGAATGCTACTGGAACATGGCCCTACAGACTGAAAAACAGGCTGTAGGGCCATGCTCCAGTAGCATTCTCTCCTGACATTTCACCGGTATCTGCAGCTAATGGCACTCTCAAGAGGTTTGTTATGAGGTCTGTTGGAAATGAGCACTGAATGGCCTTGCAGCTTCAAAGCATGGCTGCTTCCTGCCTGGGGGAATCCTTTGTTGGGAGGTGTTAGCTGGTCCACATTTTCAGCTTTGAACCAGGATATATGGCAGCATGGACTCAGATAATCCGGTTCAAAGCAGATATTGTAGGATTTCCTGCCTTGATATTCTAGGTTCTATGGAAGTGTGGAAGGGCCCTGAGGATGCCAGCCACAGATGCAGGCGAAACGTCAGGAGAGAATGCTACATGGCCCTACAGCCTTAAAAACACTGAATAAAATCCCTCATTTTCAGCTTTGAACCAGGCTATATGGCAGTGTGGACTCAGATAATCCGGTTCAAAGCAGATATTGTAGAATTTCCTGTCTTGATGTAAGTATGGAAAGGTCCTGAGGATGCCAGCCACAGATACAGGCAAAACGTCAGGAGAGAATGCTACCAGAACATGGTCATACAGCCCTAAAAACTCACAGCAACCCAATGGAATATATTTTGTTTGGGGGGAGTCAGGTGGAGCCTCTTTGTTTTCCAACAGAGGCTGGCTGGCCCTCTGTCGGGAGGGCTTGAGCAGTGTCCTCCTGCCTGGCTGAATGGGGCTAAACTGGATGGCCTTTGGGGGTCCCCTTCCAGCAGAAGGATATCATGGGTATCCAAACGTGGCTATGATGCCTATGAGGCTTCCAATCAGAGGTTGGCTGGCCCTCTGTCTGGAGAGCTTGAGCAGTGTCCTGCTGCCTGGCTGAATAGGGTTGAACTGGATGGCCTTTGGGGTCCCCTTCCAGCAGGATACCATGGATATCCAAACGTGGCTATGATGCCTATGTTTGGACTAGGTGAGGCTTCCAATCAGAGGCTGGCTGGCCCTCTGTCTGGAGGGCTTAAGCGGTGTCCTGCTGCCTGGCTGAATAGGGTTGAACTGGATGGCCTTTGGGGTCCCCTTCCAGCAGGATACCATGGATATCCAAACGTGGCTATGATGCCTATGTTTGGACTAGGTGAGGCTTCCAATCAGAGCCTGGCTGGCCCTCTGTCTGGAGGGCTTGAGCGGTGTCCTGCTGCCTGGCTGAATGGGGTTGAACTGGATGGCCTTTAGGGTCCCCTTCCTGTAATAGGATCCCATAGCGGGCCTTCTTTCCTCCCTCCCAAGCCCTTACCGTTCCTCTTCCCTTCTTGCTTCCCTTCCTTCTCCCTTTCCTTCCGTCCTCTGCGAAGAAGGGCCAGGCCAAGCCGGCCTCGCCCTGCCCGCTCTTCCTCCTCCTTGGCGCCAGGGGGCGGGGCCACGACACCAAGCAGCATCAAGAAGGCGGGGCCTACGCCGGAAGCCCGCGCACGGGCCGACGGGGAATGTAGTCCTGTAGCCCCTTGCAACCGGATACAGCTTCCTCTTCCCCTGGAATTGCAGTTTTGGCAAGGCCTCTCTCTTTGGAGCAGGCCTGAGCTAAATTTGGATGACAGGCTTGGCCTGTCCAGGAAATTAGGATATAGAGAGAGGGCTAGAAGAAGAGAAACATGCCCTGGCAGATAATGGGAAAGGCAGTCAAGAACCAACATTGATGGAAGCCAATAGTAGAAAACGACTTAAAGAGCAAACAACAAAGAGGAAATGTTGTAAAAAGACAAGAGAAAACTGGCCAAAGAAGGCTCTTCATGGAGAATTCCTGGAAAACATTGAGAGCAAAACTGACAAGGACTTCTGTCTGAATTTGGAAGTCCAATAGTAGTTTGACATGTTCATTTTATGTAACTTTTTCTGGCTTGTGCTCCCATTGGTTCTTTGTCGCAGGCACATGGTATTTGTGGTACAAGTTCCAATTGATCATCTGAGCAACTGTATTATGCCTCTGCTTGCAGTTTGTCTGTGCGATCTTTTTGCAGCAGCTGAGGATGAACAAAATCTGGCTACCAGTATTTAAAAAAACTCTAAAATTACAACAACAAAACAGCTGAGAGGAAACAACCAGGCACATCTTAACACCTCTCAACAGAACATTTTCCCAGGCTCAGCCAGGCCTTCAAATGCTATTGAAGGCGGTCAGCTGAAACATTCACACCTAGCTTCAGCAGAGAGCTCTTTGCCCCACCCCAGTCATTCCACAGATATATAAACCCGTTTTCCTATTTCCAACAGACCTCACTACCTCTGAGGATGCTTGCCATAGATGCAGGCGAAACGTCAGGAGAGAATGCCTCTAGAACATGGCCATATAGCCCGAAAAACCTACAACAACCTAGTGATTCCAGCCATGAAAGCCTTCAACAATACAGATGTGATCTATTGTTTCATCTGCTTCCTTGCAGAGTCTACACTTGGGATCTGTCGTTGACTTTTCAATTCTGGCTTTGATGGCTTTAATAATAATAATAGTAATAATATTTTATTTATACCCCGCTACCATCTCCTCAAGGGACTCGGTGTGGCTTACATGATCAATAACAAAAGCATTAACGAAAACAATCAATACAATACAATTAATATATATTACATAAACAGTAAACAATAACACACAAGCATTTAAAAACCTATGGCCAGGCCAAATGTAATAGTTTAAAATTTAAAAAATAATGCTGGGCATATACAAGGTAGGATATCATGTCTATGAAGCAATATGGTATAGGGCTTTCAAGGAGAGATGAGGGAATGCAGTCACTCCTAAATTGGTGGTAAAGTGCATTTAGAGGGCATATTACTGAGAGTTTTCCTTATTCTGGAAAGGCACAACAACCATGTTTTCAGGCTCCTCCTAAAGACTGCCAGAGTTGGGGCATGTCTGATGTCCTTGGGGAGTGAGTTCGAGTCGGGAGGCCACCACCGAGAAGGCCCAGAGATTTCAATTGGTACTACAGGCGGCAGCCAGGTTACTAACTGGTGCGACTTACAGAGAGCAGTCAACCCTCCTGTTTAAGGAGCTCCACTGGCTGCTGTTCATTTTCCGATCCCAATTCAAGGGGCAGGTTCTTACCTACAAAACCCTGAACGGTTTGGGACCTGCCTACCGCATTTCTGTTTACGAATCCACACGATCTCTTCGATCATCTGGAGAGGCCCTTCTGCGCTCTAACCTCCTTCGCAGGCGCGATTGGTGGGGACGAGGGAGAGGGCCTTCTCGGTGGTGGCCCCCCGACTCTGGAACTCACTTCCCAAGGACATCAGACATGCCCCAACTCTGGCAGTCTTTAGGAGGAGCCTGAAAACGTGGTAGTTCCAGTGTGCCTTCCCAGAATACGGAAAACTCGCAGTAATATGCCCTCTAAATGCACTTTACCACCAATTTATTTATTATTTTTATTATTATTTACTTTGCTTGTATACCGCAGTTTCTCAGCCCATAGGCGACTCAACGCGGTTCACAACAAGAGCAAAAAGTCAATCCAACAACATACAAAATTTAAAAAACCATTAACAACATAATATACATGGTAATAACACATCAATACCAACACATTAACAAATCGTGATCCAATTCATCATCCATAATTCTGTTCCTATATTCATCCATCGTATACATTGCACTGTTTATCCGAACGCCTGTTCAAACAGCCAGGTTTTTAGTTTTCTTCGAAACACCATTAACGAAGGGGCTGATCTAATGTCCATGGGAAGGGCGTTCCACAGCCGAGGGGCCACCACAGAGAAGGCCCTGTCCCTCGTCCCCGCCAGCCGTGCTTGTGATGCAGGCGGGATCGAGAGCAGGGCCTCCCCAGAAGATCTTAGAGTCCTGGTGGGTTCATAGACAGAGATACGTTCGGATAGGTAGCTTGGGCCAGAACCGTTTAGGGCTTTATAGGCCAACACCAGCACTTTGAATTGAGCCCGGTAGCAAATCGGCAGCCAGTGGAGCTGGTGCAGCAGAGGAGTTGTATGCTCCCTGCGCTCCGCTCCTGTTAGTATCATGGCTGCCGAGCGTTGGACTAGTTGGAGCTTCCGAGCCATCTTCAAAGGCAACCCCACGTAGAGAGCGTTGCAGTAGTCTAAACGGGATGTAACCAGAGCGTGGACTACCGTGGCCAAGTCAGCCTTCCCAAGGAATGACTGCCTTCCCTCATCTCTCCTTGAAAACCCTATTCCAGTTATATCTTACCTCGTTCATGCCCAGCGTTATTTTTTAAATTTTAAACTATTCCATTTGGCCCGGCCATAGGTTTTTAAATGCTTGTGTGTTACTGTTTACTGTTTGTTTATGTAATTTATATTAATTGTATTGTATTGATTTTTTTCGTTAATGCTTTTGTTATTGATGTACTGTGGGCTTGGCCTCATGTAAGCCGCACCAAGTCCATTGGTGAGATGGTAGCAGGGTATAAATAAAGTTTTTATTATTATTAAAGTCATCAAAGCCAGAATTGAAAAGTCGACGACAGATCCCAAGTGTAGACTCTGCAAGGAAGCAGATGAAACAATAGATCACATCCTCAGATGCTGTAAGAAGATCGTGCAGAGACTACAAGCAGAGGCATAACACCGTTGCTCAGATGATTAATTGGAACTTGTGCCACAAATACCATCTGCCTGTAACAAAGAACTGGTGGGATCACAAGCCAGAAAAGTTACAGAAAATGAACATGTCAAACACCTCTGGGACTTCCGAATTCAGACAGAGTTTTGGAGCACAATACTCCTGACCTCATGATAGTGGGGGGAAAAGTATGGATTGTCGATGTTGCAATCACAAGTGACAACAGAATTGATGAGAAGCAACTGGAAAAGCTGACACAATACGAGGATTGAAAGACAGAACTGCAAAGACTCTGGCACAAGCCAGCAAAGGTGATCCCAGTTATGATAGGCACACTGGGTGCAGTGCCTCAAGACCTTGGATGCACTCAAAAATAATCAACATTGACAAAATTGCCATCTGTCAGCTGCCAAAGGCCACCCTTCTCTGATGTGCACACATTATTCACTGATACATAACACAGTCCTAGATACTTGGGAAGGGTCCATGTGATCGAATACAAAAGCCAGCAGAGTTATCTTGTTTGCTGTATATTAATCTTGTTGTATATTAAATAATAATAATAGCAATAATACCTAACTTTCAATAAAAATTACCGTGCTTTCATAGACATAATAATAGAAATAATAATACCTAGCTCTCGACACAAAAATAATGTGTTACATAGACATTAGAATGACATAATAATTATAATGATACTCAGCTATCCACACAAAATTAATTTGCTTCATAGACATGATGATGATGATGATGATGATAACGGTACCTAGCTCTCAACTCAAAATTCCTTTGTTTCACAGACATAGTAGTAGTAGTAGTAGTAATGGTAGCAGCTGCCAACACAAAATTTATGTGTTTCATAGATATAATAATAATAATAATAATAAGCTCTCAACACAAAATTCCTTTGTTTCATATACATAATAGTAGTAGTAGTGGTATGTGGCTCCCAGCACAAAATGAATGTGTTTCAGAGACATAATAATAATTATATGCAGCTCTCAACACAAAATTAATGTTTCATAGACATAATGATGATGATGATACCCAGCTCTCAACACAAAATTAATGTATTTTATAGACACCCAATGCACCCAGACTGAAGATGAAGTGATCTTCAGTCTGAGCGCATTGGGTGTCTATGGAACACATGCATTTTGTGTTGAGAGCTGGGTACCATTGTTGTTGTTACTATTACTACTACCACTACTACGATTGTGTCCAATGTTTTAAATAACAATGAGCCTGAAACCAGCTTTGCCTCCATGGCACTCTCTGGAAGCCCAGGTACCACTCTCTCAGCCGTATTTATTATCAGAGTATTTTGGGATCCCAGGAAAAGGATGCACAGTCCCTTATCTGCACAGTCCTCGGGCAATGGACAATGAGAAGGCATTGAGTTACACTGAAGTTGTGTCTGAACATGGGCCAGCCGCAAGTTATGCATGTAAACACATTAAAGTATGTAAAGTTGCACAACAGAGAAGAGTGGAAAATATACAGAGGCTGGGTGTTTTTCCAGCACTTGAGAGAGATTTCTGGATGAGAAGCATGTGACGGAACCTCTTTATGAACAATCGGCTCCTTGTCAGGAGGGCCTCCAAGGAGCTCCTCCTGGAAAGAGCCAGAGAAAAGGGGAGAAAAGGACCTGGAGTTCTGCTTTGAATCTTCAAAACATCAAGCTTCCAATTTAGAAAATTATAAAATTCAACGCATCCATGTCACAGGGAGTATTTTGGCACCAAAAGCCGAATCAATGATGGCTAGTTTAGGATTTTGAAAGATCAAAGCACTCAACAAATGCACTGCAAACAAAGTCCTATTGAAATGGACAATCTCATTGGGTATCATGCTTTGAATCCATTTTCCCCATTGCTAAGGACTGGATCAACAGTGTCAAATAATGAATCTTGGAATGTGTTATATGGTCAGTGTAGACACATATCATGCTGTTTGAACTGCCTTATTTAATAGTGCAGATGCAGCCTGTAATAACAGGAGCTTTTTTGTTGAGTTCCAGGGCCAGAGAAGCAGATGGCGAAAACAGACAAATGGTCTGCCTCAGGGGAATGTGCTTGCTCCATCACATTTACACAATTTACACTGCCAGAAAGGACAAAGAGTTTCATCTATGCTGACGATCATGCCAGCATCACTCAAGCAGGGAGCTTTGAAATGGTTGAACAGAAGCTATCAGAAGCTTTAGGTGCTCTTACTGCCCATTACAGGGAAAAACCAGCTAATTCCTAATTCAGCTAAAACGCAGATGTGTGCTTTTCACCTTAACAACAGACAAGCATCTCGAGCTGAGGAAACAATAGTCACAGGAGCATCACAGCACACCCAAATACCTGGGAGTCACTCTGGACTGTGCTCTGACTTATAAGAAGCACTGCTTGAATACAAAGCAAAAATTGGATGCTATAAATAATATCATACGAAAGCTGACAGGCACAACCTGGGGATCACAACCAGATACAGTGAAGGCATCTGCCCTTGCGCTGTGCTACTCTGCTGCTGAGTATGCATGCCCAGTGTGGAATACATCTCACCACACTAAAACAGTGGATGTGGCTCTTAATGAGACATGCCGCATTATCACAGGAGGTCTACCCCACACCACTGGAGAAATTACACTGTTTAGCTGGTATTGCACCACCTGACTTCTGCCAGGAAGTATCAGCCTGTAATGAAAGGACCAAGTGAGTGTCATCTCTGGCCCATCCTCTGTTCGGATATCAGCAGGTATGCCAATGGCTTAAATCAAGAAATGGCTTCCTAAGTTCGAGAGAAATACTCACAGGAACACCTCAGCAAACAAGAATCCAAAAGTGGCAGGTTAAAACCAGCAGTTTAATTAGTGCCTGAGACCAGATGAGAAACTCCCTCCTGGGCACACAGAAGATTGGGTGACCTAGAAGACGCTGAACAGACTGCGCTCTGGCACCACAAGATGCAGAACCAACTTTAAGATATGGGGCTTCAAAGTCGAGCCCATGACATGCAAGTAAGGAGAAGAGCAAACCACAAACCACCTACTACAGTGCAACCTGAGTCCTGCCACAATGGAGGACCTTCTCACAGTGACACCAGAGGTGCTCCAAGTGGCCAGCTCCCGGTCAAAGGACATTTAGCAAAATGCCAAGTTTAAAAATTTGTTTTTGCTTTTAAATACATGTTAACTGTACCCTCAACTCACTTCTGACATGAAAAATAATTAGTCTGTAATCCATGCTGAACTTCTCCATCAAAGAAACAAACAAACAAAAAACTCCAAGGACTTCTGCTAGTAATTTCAATTGATACTTTTAATGAGAGACATTATAATGAGAATACACACCAAGAAATTAGAGAGCTAGAAAGATTAGAACTCTCAGCAGAAAGCTGCAGAAAGGCAAAGAACAAACTCAAAAGGAGGCTGCTTTCAGTACAAACAGCAACTTGCATCAGTTTATTTACAATCCTGTGCCATGCTTTAAAAAAAGGAAAATATTGTGAATAAGGGTGACATACACTCTCAGCCTCCCAAAGACCCTAACCAAAGACCAATTCCTTCATGTTGCCTGCATTGCGAATGAGAAAGAGGCAGGTTTGGAACTTGCAGAGCATATCCAACAAACCCTGGAAGGCCAAATCCAGCAGGCGGTCACTTGTGGACTCTTCCATATCACCAACACCCAGGTTTATATCCATGCCTTGACAATTTTCCATCTAAATGTGACTTTCTAAAGCAATGCAGTAAAGGCAAGTTAGGAAGGGGAATGTGGCAACCTGCTCCCCATAGGCATGTTCCACCTCGCAGGGAGGTTCTGAAGAGGCAAAGCAATAGGCCTGACTCCTGGAGATGCACACACATGGCAGCAATGCAGTCAAAAGAAAGGCGAAGGGTTGCTGTCAGGCTGGCAAAATACAGGGGAAAGCATTCGCCCCGGGCCCAGGGCTAGAGTGAGCCGTCTGGCCCACTTTCCATGGGATTCCTCCTTTCTCAAAGCGACCCTCAGCCTTTACCAAAGGGAACCCTGAGGCTCCGTTGCATCTCAAATGCAGGCAGCGCTTCCTCATCCAGAAAGAAGGAAGGAGCCAGAGAGAGGCCTCCTGCTCCTTTGGCTCCCAGACCAAAGCCACTGAGGGATAATCGGTTCCCTCTCCAAAAGGCAATGAAAGAGCAGAAGCCCCTCAGCGCTTCACCCGTCGCTTCTCCAGTTCTTCTTGCACCCGCCGCCTCAGCGCCTCCTTCAATGCTGGCTCCAGCGGGTCCTGGGCACTGACCTTCTCCACCACCTCCTCCGGGTCATGCTCCTGAGGGAGAAGCAAAAGGAGAAGATGACGTAAAAGGAAGAAAGAGTGGCTGCAAAACATGTTGGGCGAGTGGGCTTATTAACAAAAGACCCTGCTCATAAATGCACAGCAAAATAACTTACCAGCAGCAGCGTGACGCAGCATCAGTAACCCAAAGTGACAAAAAGAACAAAAACACACAGACCAATGGTATCTGTTCCTTAGGAGGCTTTCCTTTATAGCAAAATAATATGGTTGCACTATTTATAAGAACTAGGTTTCCATAACACGAACAAAGTTCTTTATACTTCCTACTTTGCTTCCACGCTGGGCTTCTTTCTCATGCAAAGGAACAGCTTCCTCTCACGGAGCCTCTTCTCACACCGAAGTTACATAGGAACTTCACACAGTAGTTTCATACACAACAGCCTTCACACACTGGAGCTTTAAACACGAGGCTTCTCTCACACAGAAGTTTACCTCACGCGCTCCAGGACAACACTAGCTTTGGCCCACTGATTCTAACAGGCTTCGGCGTACTCATTCTCCTTAGGACTAGCTTTGGCCCACTGATTCTAACAGGCTTTGGCCTACTCACTCTCCTCAGGACTAGCTTTGGCCCACTGACTCTAACAGGCTTCGGCCTACTCACTCTCCTCAGGACTAGCTTTGGCCCACTGACTCTAACAGGCTGCGGCCTACTCACTCTCCTCAGGACTAGCTTTGGCCCACTGACTCTAATTTTAGCCTACTCACTCTCCTCAGGACGACACTAGTATGGCCCACTGACTCTACAGGTTTTGGCCTACTCACTCTCCTCAGGACTAGCTTTGGCCCACTGACTCTAACAGGCTTTGGCCTTCTAACTCTTTCAGTGCTTGACTCACACTTTTGTAATCAAAAATACCTAGTTAATTTTTAATATTTCTGACAAGGCACAGGGAGGAACTGCTTGGTGGCGGCTCCCAAACTCTTCGGACAGGAGGCAAGGTGGTGTTAGAATTGAGTAAACTACTTGGCGGATTCATGGTTAATTGTAAAGTTAGGTTTCTCTCACTTCCTGTTGTCTTAGCTATGTTCTTATCTAGGAGTCATTTGTAAGTCGGATGTTTGTAACTCGGGAACTGCCTGTATGTATTTTATGTTTCAGTGGCTTCTCTGTGCAATCTGGCATGATGGTTGTCAGAGTGTTGTCCAGGATTTCTGTGTTCTCAAATAATATGCTGTGCCCAGGCTGGTTCATCAAGTGCTCTGCTATGGCTGACTTCTCTGGGTGAATCAGTCTGCAGTGCTTTCCGTCTTCCTTGACTCGTGTGTCTGGGCAATGCTTAAATGTCAGGAGAGCCCAAAAAACTCACAGCAACCCAGTCATTCCAGTCATGACAGCCTTCGACAACGCATTACGATTATAATCATACATGCTGCTACACAGCCAGACAGGTAAGTACCTGGTGCACAACAACGGAGGTAATCTTGCCACTGTCGGCCTCAAAGTCCAGGCAGAAGAGAGCCGGTCCATTGCCATCCGGATCTGTTCCGGAGCTGCTCTCGCTGGATCCCTCGTACTCCAGGCTTGTTGGGGCTTCTGCATGACCTGGAAAACAAAGAGGAAAGGTTGTAGAGGTGGGCCGCCTTTCCACAGATGCCAAGGGGCACCCTGCATTCACCCCAGGCCAACTCTTTTTTCTGAGTCCTGCAGGGCTGTTCTTTGGACACTTGTTTATTTATTTATTTATTTATTTGCTATATTTCTATACCGCCATTCTCAGCCCAAGGGCAACTCATGGCGGTTTACAAAATGGCACAATCTGATGCCCACAGCAATACAAGATAATTACACATTTAAAACATTTAACATAGATAAAATTCATTACAAATAACAGCAATAAAACATAATTTTAAACCGTAAGTCCTCCGCACTTCATTACCAATCATTATCCAGTCGCGTTGTCCAACTGTTCCGAGATCAGAGTTTAATAGTTACACTGCGTTTGGAAAAGCCTGCTCATATAGCCAGGTTTTGACTTTTTTGCGATACGTTAAGAGAGTGGGGGCCGATCTAATGTCCTTGGGGAGGGCATTCCACAACCAAGGGGCCACCGCTGAGAAGGCCCTGTCTCTCGTCCCTGCCAGTCGAGCCTGTGAAGATGGCAGGACCGAGAGCAGGGCCTCCCTAGAAGATCTTAAATTCCTAGAGGGTTCATAAGGAGAGATACATTCGGACAAGTAAGCAGTGCCGGAACCGTTTAGGGCTTTATAGGCTAAAGCCAGTACTTTGAATTGTGCTCGGTAGCAGATTGGCAGCCAGTGGAGCTGGCACAACAGATGCGTTGTATGCGCCCTGGGCACCACTCCTGTTAGCAACCTGGCTGCCACCCATTGGACCATTTGAAGCTTCTGAACAGTCTTCAAAGGCAACCCTACATAGAGAGTGTTGCAGTAGTCTATACAGGATGTAACCAGAGCGTGGAGGATTAATTACTCCCAAACTGAGAACCTGTGGGATCGTGATAGCACCCCATTTTGTCAGCGCAACTGCAAGGAATAGAGGGGGGACCTACCTTTACGGCAGGGGTGGTAGACTGGCTGGTCGGGCTTCCGGGGCCGCGCTGGGGCTGGCGTGTGGCGCTTCTTCACTTTCTCTTTGGCTTGCTTCACTTCCCGGTCATAATCATCCCTGAAGCGGGAAAGGAGAGGACAGTGCAAGGGTTTTTATGAGACGCTTTGAGGATGGCATAATAATAATAATAATAATAATAATAATAATAATAATAGTCCTAGACACTTGGGAAGTGTCAGATGTGCGATCCAAAGGCCAACATAGTGATTTGTTTGCTGTGTACTAATCTTGTTGTGTATCAAATAATAATAATAATAATAAAAACTGCACTCCAAACCAGAGCAGAAAGCTGGCACAAAAGCCTTACATGGGCAGTTCCTTGAGAAGATTGAAGGAAAAGTTGACAAGAAGAAGACCTGGTGATGGCTCATGAATGGAACCCTGAAGAAGGAGACAGAACGCTGGATTCTTGCAGGCCAGGAGCAAGCCATCAGAATCAATGCCATTAAGGCCAGGATTGAAAAATCAGCAGATGACCCAAAATGCGGACTGTGCAAGGAAGCTGATGAAACCATGGACCATCTCCTCAGCTGTTGCAAGAAAATCGCACAGATGGACTACAAATAAAGACACAACTCTGTGGCCCAGATGATTCACTGGAACTTATGTCACAAGTACGACCTGTCAGCAGTAGAGAATTGGTGGGATCATAAACCTGCAAAGGTCGTGGAAAATGAACATACAAAAATACTGTGGGACTTTCGAATCCAGACTGACAAAGTTTTGGAACACAATACACCAGACATCACGATTGTGGAAAAGAAAAAAGTCTGGATTATTGATGTCACCATACCGAGTGACAGTCGCATTGAGGAAAAACAACAGGAAAAACTCAGCCGTTATCAAGACCTCAAAATCGAACTGCAAAGGCTCTGGCATAAACCAGTACAGGTGGTCCCAGTGGTCATTGGCACACTGGGTGCCGTGCCAAAAGATCTCAGCCGGCATTTGGAAACAATAAGGAAGAGAGAAGGAGGGGGAGACAGAGGGAAAGGAAGGAGGGAAGGAAGAGAAAAGAAAGAAGGAAAGAGAAAGGAAGGAGAGAAAGAAGGATAGAGAAGGAAGGAAGGAAGAGAGAAGAGGGAGAGAAAGAGGGAAAAGGAGAGAAGGAAGGAAAGAAAGAAGGGTAGAGAAGGAAGAAAGGAGGAGGGAAAGGAGGGAGAGAAAAGAAGGAAAGAAAGAAAGGTAGAGAAGGAAGGAAGGAAGAAGGGAAGGAGATAAAGAAGGAAAGGAGAGAAGGAAGGAAGGAGAGAAGGAGGGGGAGAAAGAGGGAAAGAAAGGGAGAGAAGGAAAGAAGAAAGGTAGAGAAGGAAGGGGAAAGAGAAGGAGGGAAGAGAAAGGGGAAAGAGGAGGAAGGAGAGGAAAGAAGGAAAGAAAGAAGGGAGAGAAGGAAGGAAGGAAAGAGGAGGAAGGAGAAGAAGGAAAGAAAGAAAGGTAGAGAAGGAAGGAAGCAGAGAAGGAGGGGGAGACAGAGGGAGAGAAGGAAAGAAAGAAAGGTAGAGAAGGAAGGAAGGAGAGAAGGAGGGAGAGAAAGAGGGAAAGAAGGAGGGAAGGAGAGAAAGAAGGAAAGAGTAGAGAAGGAAGGAAAGAGAAGGAGAAGAAGGAAAGAAAGAAGGTAGAGAAGGAAGGAAACAGAGAAGGAGAGGGAGACAAGAGGGAAAGGAGGAAGAAGGGAAGAAAGAGAGGTAGAGAAGGAAGGAAGGAGAAGGAGGGAGAGAAAAGGGAAAGAAGGAGGGAAGGAGAGAAAGAAGAAAGAAAGGAGGGAAGAAGGAAGGAGGAGGAAGAGAGAAAAAAGGAAAGAGGAAGAAGGAGAGAAGGAATGAAAGAGAGAAAGAGGGAAGGAAGGAAGAGACAAGGAAGGATGGAACCAAAGGGCAAAGGAAGCGAGAAAAGAAACAGGTAGAGAAGGAAGAGAAGAAGGGAAAGAAAAAGAGGGAAGGAAGGAAAGAGGGAGGGAAGGAAGGAGAGAAAGAAAGAAAGAAGGAGAAAAAGAGGGAGGTAAGGTTGGCCACAGCTAGTTGTAAAATAATTGTATAGTCAGGGGTCACCACAAGATGAGGCACTGTATTCAGGGGTCGCAGCATTAGGAAGGTTGAGCAACATTGGTACATAATGCAAGCTCAAGGGGTTCCCTTCCAAACCAGAGAGTGGGGGGAATGGGAAGGGAGGGCCAAGGGGGCGGGGCCCCAAAGGAGGAAGCGTGGGGGAAAGGAAGCCTCTACCTGCCTCACCTGGCCACCTGGTTCCGGCGGATGTGCCGGACGAAGCCGTGGCTCATGTCCAAGCGGCCCCCGGGACGCCCCCCGGAGAACGAGGAGGAGGAGGAGGAGGAAGTAGCCATGGAGGAAGGAAAGAAAGAAAGGAGAAGGAAGGAAGGAAGGGAGAGGAGGAGGAGACCCAGAGCCCCGCCCCTCTGCCACTGAGCCCCGCCCCCAACTGCCGCCTTAGAACTCAGAGAGCATCACAAAGTGGGAAGGGATCCCCAGAGGACATCTAGCCCAACCCCTTTCTTTCTGCCCTTCATGCAGTTACTTACTTAGGCGATCCCTCGTTTTCGGAGGAGGATTCTTGTGGGTCCTTAGATGGCTATGGAGCCCTATTCTTGCTCTGCATCTTCTCCCCCAGTGAGGGCATTGGTTTCCAGGTGGATGGCGGTCTTGGTCGGGGTTGGCTTGGCGCGCCTTCCTCTTGGCATGTTTCTCTCTTTCGCCCTCCATTCGTGCCTCTTCACATTCTGCAGCACTGCTGGTCACAGCTGACCTCCAGCTGAAGCGGTCAAGGGCCAGGGCTTCCCAGTTCTCAGTGTCTATGCCAGAGTTTTTAAGGTTGGCTTTAAGCCCATCTTTCAATCTCTTTTCCTGCCCACCAACATTCTGTTTTCCATTCCTGAGTTCGGAGTAGAGCAACTGCTTTGGGAGACGGTAGTCCGGCATCCGGACAACGTGGCTGGTCCAGCGGAGTTGGTGTTGGAGGACCATCGCTTCAATGCTGGTGGTCTTTGCTCCTTCCAGCATGCTGACGTTTGTCCGCTTGTCTTCCCAAGAGATTTGTAGGATTTTCCGGAGACAGCACTGATGGAATCGTTCCAGGAGTTGCATGTGACGTCTGTAGATAGTCTACGTCTCACAGGCATATAGCAGGGTTGGGAGGACAATAGCTTTATAGACAAGCACCTTGGTATCCCTACAAAACACTCAAACACTCTCTGCTTCATTTGGAAAAATGCTGTGCTCGCAGAGCTCAGGCGGTGTATTTCGGTGTCGATGTTGACTTTGGTGGAGAGGTGGCTGCCAAGGTAGCGGAAATGATCAACATTTTCTAATGTTACACCATTAAGCTGTATCGCTGGCATTGGAGAGGGGTTGGCTGGTGACTGCTGGAACAGCACTTTGGTTTTCTCGATGTTCAGTGACAGGCCGAACTTCGTGTATGCTTCTGCGAAGGTGTTTAGAGTGGCTTGTAGGTCTTCTTCTGAATGCGCACAGACGACGTTGTCATCAGCATACTGGAGTTCTATAACAGATGTTGTTGTAACCTTGGTTTTGGCTTTCAGTCTGCTGAGGTTGAATAGCTCGCCATCCGTCCAATAGATGATTTCCACTCCGGTGGGAAGCTTCTCGTCGACAAGGTGAAGTATCATAGCGATGAAGATGGAGAATAAAGTTGGGGCAATAACACATCCCTGTTTGACACCGGATTCCACCTTAAATGGGTCACTTTGGGAGCCACTGCTGTCCAGGACTGATGTCATCATGGAGGAGCCGCAGGATGTTCACAAATTTGTTAGGGCACCCGATTTAAATAATATGTTCTGTATATTTATATAGACTTGATGAAATGAATTTCTCTTTTGTTACAAAGTCTCAAGTCTTAAACTAACTTTAAATGACTTAATTAGTAATTACTAAAAATACCACAAAGTCTGTTGGAAACACTTGAAAACCGTGTCAGTACACTTTGACAGAAATCAGGCTCTCGTGGACACTCAAGAGTGCAAGTCCAGTCAGTCTTTCTTGCCCCATTGTGCTTCTTATGTATATTTTCAAACATTTAAGAGCTAAAAATGACCTATATATAGGCATAGCAATGGGAACCCTACTATATGGAAAAGGAGAGGGGGAAAGCAAGGAGTTAAAGGCCTAATTCCTCATTGGGAACCTGCCTAATTTTCAAGGATGCTTCCAATGACTGTAGGTCCCATATGTCCTGATTTATTGCCATATGTGCCTATTTCTGCAGAGGGCCTTTGTTTGCAAGAAAAAAAATAGTTCTAAACTCGTTTCGTATATAGGGGGCGCTGGCGTTTCGATTTTAAAATTATTTCTCAAATTTTCTTGAAAAAAAGATCGGAAATAGCAAAAATCTGTATAGCTTCGTTTACTTCGTTAAATGAAGGTGCCCCTCCCCCCTGTTAGTTTAAAATCTATTATATTATATATTATTATATTATAATAATTGTATATTATAATATTATATAATATTATATATTATACTAGCTTTACCCAGCAATGCGTTGCTGTGGCATAGAGTGATGGTATGAAAAATAAAGTAATGAGAAATTTTATGCAAGAAGGATGCCAGGAGAAAGAGGAGGGAGGGGGGAATGTGGGATTTGCCAGCTGGAAGGAAGGAAGGAAGGAAGGAAGGAAGGAAGGAAGGAAGGAAGAGGAAGAGAAGGGAAGAGACAGTCTCTGTGTCCTCCTTGCCCAGTGCAGCCCAGAGTGAGGCAAGAAGAAGAATGAGGAAGGAGGAGGGAAGCAGCAGAGCAAAGGTGGCCGGCAGGAGGAGAGAGAGAGAGGAAATTCATCGGCTTAAGCGGAGGCCAGGGACTGGAAGTGGGGTAAATGCGCCGCTTGCTACCAGGGAGAGAAAAGAAACTGCGAGATTGTAAAACTTGCACCAGACATCCAAAAATAATTACGAAAAATGGGGAAATTGTTTCAGTTTGTAATTACTCCTCACACTATTCCTGCATGGCTCAATATTGGATTTATATTTATCGTGTCATCCGCAACCAGAACATTGTATTACATTTCTAACAGAACAAAACAAACGAACAGATTAAAAAAAGAAAACACACAAATTTTGCAAACTTGGTAGTTGGTTAAATGTCCTTTGACCAGTATCTGGCCACTTGGAGTGCCTCGGTTGCCGCAAGAAGGTCCTCCATCCATCGTGCAGGGCTCAGGGTGCATTGCAGCAGGTGGTCTGTAGTTTGCTCTTCTCCACACTCGCATGTCATGGATTCCACTTTTCTGAAGGTTGGCTCTGCATCTCGTGGTGCCAGAGCGCAGTCTGTTCAGCGCCTTCCAAGTCGCCCAGTCTTCTGTGTGCCCAGGGGGGAGTCTCTCATCTGGTATCACCCATGAATTGAGGTTCTGGGTTGGAGCCTGCCACTTTTGGACTCTCGCTTGCTGAGGTGTTCCAGCGAGTGTCTCTGTAGATCTTAGAAAACTATTTCTTGATTTAAGTCGTTGACGTGCTGGCTGATACCCAAACAGGGGATGAGCTGGAGATGTCTCTGCCTTGGTCCTTTCACTATTGGCGGATGTCAGGTGGTGCAATACCGGCTAAGCAGTGTAATTTCTCCAGTGGTGTAGGGCACAGACAACCCGTGATAATGCGGCATGTCTCATTAAGAGCCACATCCACTGTTTTAGTGTGGTGAGATGTGTTCCACACTGGGCATGAGTACTCAGCAGCAGAGTAGCATAGCGCAAGAGCAGATGTCTTCACTGTATCTGGTTGTGATCCCCAGGTTGTGCCAGTCAGCTTTCGTATGATATTGTTTCTAGCGCCCACTTTTTGCTTGATGTTCAGGCAATGCTTCTTGTAGGTCAGAGAACAGTCCAGAGTGACTCCCAGGTATTTGATATTCGATCAAAGGTAATTTTAATACGAATTCATTACGAGTTTAGAAACTTACGAACACGATCAACCAAGCCTAGTTTGCATAAAACACTGATGGTTTGAGAAAAACATTGTTGCAGAGAAGTAGTTACTTTACAAGGATAAAAGTATAAGCCAACCCGAATATTTATTTATTTGTTTATCACATTTCTACCCCGCCCTTCTCAACCCCGAGGGGGGACTCAGGGCGGATATAAGCCGAGGGACCTAATTATACCACAAAAAACTGGGAAAATGTATTGACTCGAGTATAAGCCGAGGAGGGTGAGAAATGTAGCTGCTACTGGTAATCGTCAGTAGGTTAAATGTTTTTGAGTATTTACACAAAACTGTAATTTAAGATCTGCCCAACTCCTGATTCAACCATTATTCTAAACTCCTTCAATGTAAATGTGCTTACCTATTACCTATAATGATAGAATAAAATAATAAATGTAATAACATGTAATAAAAATAATAATAGAGTAAATAATGGAAATTTAATAATAATTATAGTACCGTAATAATAATAAATGTAATAAATGTAATAATAATTGAGTAAAATAATAAACGCAATAAATATAATACAGTAAAATAATGTAAATGTAATAATAATAGAGTAAAATAATAAATGTAATGAAAGCAATAGTAGAGTGAAATAATGTAAATGTAGTAATAATAATAGAGTAAAATAATAAATGTAATAAAAATAATACTAATAGCAGAGTAAACTAATAAATAACCTTGACTTGAGTATAAGCTGAGGGGATTTTTTTCAGCCTAAAAAGGGGGCTGAAAAACTAGGCTTATACTCAAGTATATACAGTACATCAGGACAGAACTAGTTCCCTTGTACTTCCCCAATTTCCCAGCCGCCTGAAGTATTGAACTATAGATACTTTCCAACAGAGTGTTCATAGGCAGAGAACAATACACTATAGCTGTGCCCTTGTTAGGATCCCACCTGTGCCTTTCTGCCTGTCAAAGTCAAAGAGCCAATGAAATTTGTATTAGCCAGCTTAGACCAATGAAATGATTGATCTTTCAACACCAATGAGAATATGTTTTCAATTCTTTGTCAAATTGATAAAAGCTTTGTAACCCCATTTGAGGGTGCGACAAAATCTTTGATTATATTTCATGTTTGTCATTATTGCTAAGGCCCACAATAAAAGCCTTTGTGGTAGGAATCCAACTTATGGCCTCCTCCTTGCACTGCTACATGGGCCTTTGAAGGGACTCCTAAGCTTGGGCATTTGGAGTGCTAGTGTGCGCACAAGTTTTAACTGTGTGAAGGTCCTCTCGGCCACCACTGACATCTGAGCATCAAGCATCAGCCACGTTTTGACTTGCTTCCGAAACGTTAAAAGGGAAGGAGCAGATCTAATCTCTCTAGGGAGGGCGTTCCATAGCCGGGGGGCCACTGCTGAGAAGGCCCTGTCTCTCGTCCCCACCAAACGTACCTGTGACGAAGGCGGAACTGAGAGCAGAGCCTCTCTGGACGATCTCAAAGTTCTAGATGGTTTGTAAGGGGAGATATGTTCGGAGAGGTAAGTTGGGCCAGTTGAAACATTCACACCTAGCTCCAGCAGACAAGAGTCCTTTGTCCCACCCTGGTCATTCCACAGATATATAAAGCCTTTTTCCTAGTTCCAACAGACCTCACTACCTCTGAGAATGCTTGCCATAGGTGCAGGCAAAACGTCAGGAGAGAATGCCTCTAGAACATGGCCATACAGCCTGAAAAAACCTACAACAACAGTGATTTCTGCCATGAAGGCCTTGGACAATACATAATATTACAATGTTATATTATTATTGTTGTTGTTGTTGTTGTTCATATGTTCAGTCATCTCCGACTCTTCGTGACCTCATGGACCAGCCCACGCCAGATCTCCCTGTCGGCCGTCACCACCCCCAGCTCCTTCAAGGTCAGCCCAGTCACTTCAAGGATGCGATCCATCCATCTTGCCCTTGGTCAGCCCCTCTTCCTTTTACCTTCCACCTTCCCCAGCATAATTGTCTTATTATTATTAATTATTATAATTAATAATTATATTTATTATTATTATTATTATTGTTATTATATTAATTCAGTGGAGCTCCTCTAATGGAAGCCTTTGAGGGCAGAAAGAGAAGCCAGCCACTCTTAGTCTCAGCTGCATTAGAAGGATAGGATGCCTTCTGCGCAGGCGCAAACTTCCATCTCTCGCCGCGCATGCGCTGACATCAGTGTGCCGGGCGGGAAGCCTGGCGGAGAAGGATGACGTCAAACCCCGGCAGACGTATAACAGTTGTCTTCTCGGGCGTGACGGCATCGCCTGGCGCCGGAAGGCTCCTGTGCGCATGCGCGGGCTATTCGTTCATGGCGATGTCGGTGAGAGTGAAGCGAGAGAGAGACCCATGGCCGGCCTTGTCCGCTTCCTCGTCCAACGGGGGGCCGGTGAAAGTGAAAGTGAAGCAAGAACCCGAAGAGGAGGAGGAGGAGCTCCGTATCAAGCAGGAGCCCAAGGTGGAGGCGGAAGAGGAGGACGAGGACGAGCCCGAAGGTGGGGTGGAAGGCAGGCCATCTGCCGGGGAGGCTTGGATGGTGCTTCTCTTGCCTGGAAGAATATAGGGGGCTGGACTGGATGGCCTCTGGATGCCCTTCGGGGATTTCCCTTCCCATTCTAGGATTTTTAATAATATTTCGTGCATGAAGACAGAATGGGGTTGGACTGGATGGCCTTTAAAGGTCACTTCCAACTCTAGGATGTTATGTATACAGGCAGCCCTCAAGTTCTGTATGTTTGTTATTCAGTTGAATTTGCATGTAGGTTGGAACAAGGACATTTTTAAGTACAACTCCAGCCAAAGAGTTGCACACACACTATTTATACCCTGCCTTACTCATTTACTTAGGCGATCCCTCGTTTGCCGAGTAGGATAGTCTTCCAGGATCAGAATTCTTGTGAGTCTGTAGGTGGCTGTGGAGCCCTATTCTTGATCTGCATCTTCTCCCGCAGTGTGGGCATTGGTTTCCAGATGGAAGGCGGTCCTCAGTCGGGGTTGGCTTGACGCGCCTTCCTCTTGGCACGTTTCTCTCTTTCACCCTCCATTCGTGCCTCTTCAAATTCTGCAGCACTGCTGGTCACAGCTGTCCTCCAGCTGGAGCGCTCAAGGGCTAGGGCTTCCCAGTTCTCAGTGTCTATGCCAGAGTTTTTAAGGTTGGCTTTGAGCCCATCTTTCAATCTCCTTTCCTGCCCACCAACATTCGTTTTTCCGTTGGGAGTAGAGCAACTGCTTTGGGAGACGGTGGTCGGGCATCCGGACAACGTGGCCAGTCCAGCGGAGTTGATGGTGGAGGACCATCGCTTCAATGCTGGTGGTCTCTGCTTCTTCCAGCACGCTGACGTTTGTCCGCTTGTCTTCCCAAGAGATTTGCAGGATTTTCCGGAGGCAGCGCTGATGGAATCGTTCCAGGAGTTGCATGTGACATCTGTAGACAGTCCATGTTTCATAGGCCTATAGCAGGGTTGGGAGGACAATAGCTTTATAAACAAGCACCTTGGTCTCCCTACAGATGTCCCGGTCCTCAAACACTCTCTGTTTCGTTCAGAAAAATGCTGCACTCGCAGAGCTCAGGTGGTGTTGTATCTTGTGTTCGGAGTAGAGCAACCGCTTTAGGAGACGGTGGTCAGGCATCCGGACAACGTGGTCAGGTCGAGCAAAGTTGATGGCAGAGGACCATCGCTTCAGTGCTGATGGTATTTGCTCCTTCCAGCACGCTGACATTTGTCCACCTGTCCCCTGCCACCATCTCCCCAAAGGGACTCAGGGCGGCTTGCATAAGAACTTGAGGGCCACATGCAGAAAACAGTACATAAGTATAAATACAGTGACAATAAGTATAATCAACAGCACGTAAGAATCTCATTGATAAAACTATAAAAATTAAAAATTACTAAACGCAGTGGAACCTGTGGGAAAGCTGGCTATCTGTCACAACAATCAAAGTGCAGGCTAGTACTATCCATGATTCATCACCTTGGCCATGGAATACTCAGGATCTAAGGCCTGTCTGAAGACCCATGTTTTTAGGCTCACCTGGAAGGCCTGAAGAGAGGGGGCTAATCTAATTTCTTTAGGGAGGGTATTCCAGACCCAGGGAGCCACCACTGAGAAGGCCCCCCCCTCTCTTGTCCCCACCAACTATGCTCGAAACGGTGGTGGGACCGCTTCAGACTTACTGCAGTCTAACATATTGCATGTTTTCAAACATTTCTCTGTGTTTACTCTTTGGTGCTTTTCATATCTTTCAGTCAAATATGGCCGCTTTGATCCAGAGGACCGACGGAGCCGGCACTGCCCTTATTTGGACACCATCAACAAGTCAGTACCAAGAGGAAAGGTGCAAGGAATGTGAACTAAATAATGTATCCCGATCAGACAAAAAATGTTTAAATATTGAAGACATGAGGAATTGAAAAACTAGCTGGGATAATAATTTAAATATGTATGATGTTCCATATCATATTACAGCACAGCTCATTATTTTAAGGGTATATAGTGAACTGTGTATAAAACCTGGCACGTCAGCATTTTAGTGTATAACTGGAGACCTTTTTTTTTTGCATTTCAAATAATTTTATTTCATTTTCACATTTTTATACATAAGACTGGGTGAGAGGCTGGGGAAAGTATAATGTTGATTATGGAGTTTTGTTAGTAATTTAGGTCTATCCATAAGTATAATGTATACGTCCAAGAGTGAGGAAGGGGAGGGTATTGTTAAACTTACTCTATTTTTTTTTAAAGCATTTCCATTCACAATGCCTTTTGTTTAGGAAAAACAAAAATAATTGGTTTCTTTCTTTTTTATTCCATTTGTTTTTCTTGTTGATCTTTTTTCTTCTTATGTTGTCCCATCTTTTTCTTACCTTCTTTTCTGGGCCTAGACCATTAGAATTTCTTCTAGTTATTTTGTCACTTTACTTATACATTACATTTTCTATTTTCCCTTACTTTTAATAATAACATTTTTTAATATTTCTTAGAGGCAATTTTGTTTTTTAATGTGTTAGTAATGCTAGTATAAATACTTGTTAGCATGGTCCTGTCAGAAATATTAAATATTAACTAGGTATTTTAATTACAAAAATGTGAATCAAGCACTGAAAGGGTTAAATAGATGTAATGACCCAACAAAAGCTGCAGTTGGATATAAGTAGGTGTGCCTCAGTGTTACTTAGGTGTGCCATAGTAATAATACTCCGAATTTGGTCATACTCTTCAATGAAATCATGGAAGGAAGTTCCAGACTCCTGGAAGTATTCCGAGATAATTACAATCTCAAAACCAAATAAAGACGAAACAGATCCCAATGCATATAGACCTATCTCCCTCAGTAATGTGGACTATAAGATCTTTACAAAAATTATAGCAAACAGAATAAGGGAAAAATCCCAAAAATAATCCGTGAAGATCAATATGGATTTATTAAAAATAGGAAAATAGCAAACCCTATCAGAATCATTTTAAACACTCTAAATCATGCCACAGTTAATAGATCCAAATTCTTCTTGTGGAGGTAACTTTCCTTCTTTGTTTTTTAATCCTTTTTCAATAAATTTTCTCCATACATCATCAAAATTACTTTGTTTCCATATACCTCTTTTAACTTTTAATATACATGTCAGCTTATCATTTATTGCCAATTTCCATTCTTCTTTATACCACTCCTCTATTTGTATATTTATTTCTCTTTTCCAATTCCTTGCTATAAGCAGTCTTGCTATTGTTAATAAATTTGTTATTGCATCTTTATCCTCTTTTTTCAATTGTTTATTATTATATAATGATAATAAAGCTATACAGCGTTGTTCATAGGTGCTGAGTTCACATATCTGTGGCTCGCCACCAGCATCAGAGAGGCTTCCCATGTCTTCAGCCTCTTTCACTTCCTATGGATAGTGCAGTGTTGACAACACTCACAAATGCTCTCAAGTGATATTGAATTCTGGGGTCTGGCCATAATGTGTCATATTGTAAGCCACCAAGCGTTCTCATGGGAAGAAAGACGTGGTAGAAATAAAATTTGTAAGAACAACAGTAACATTGCCCTAATGTGGGAATCTTCTTTTCTAGGAGTGTTCTGGACTTCGACTTTGAGAAGCTCTGTTCCATTTCCCTATCTCACATCAATGTGTATGCATGTTTGGTCTGTGGAAAATATTTTCAGGGTGAGTCTGCTCCCTTTTTTGATTTAAAGGGTAATAGAAAAGCATCTTCTGTAATAAATCCTAGGACATATGTTGAATGTATGTTGAAATAAAGAAGAGAAAACTGATTTAATAAAAAAAGAGAAAAAGTTCCTGGGATTATTTTGTGGAACTCAATGACTTGAAGTCTGACCTATGTCTCTCTCAATGGCACTGCCTTGCTTTTCCCCTCCAGGCCGGGGCCTGAAGTCGCACGCTTACATCCACAGTGTCCAATTCAGCCATCACGTCTTTCTCAATCTCCACACCTTGAAGTTTTACTGCCTTCCTGACAACTACGAAATCATTGACTCTTCCCTGGAGGATATCACTGTACGTGGCTTCCTTGCCAAAGGATTTGGGGATAGTGGGCTATGTGCAGAAAGCAAAGTAGGCTTATTTCCTTCTTGTTCCATGGTGGGGTGGTGAACCTGGCTTGCCCCCCAGAAAGCGTTAGTCATGCTGCCCTTCCTGAATGGAGGCCCTGATCTTTCAGGTGTTGGAGGTCAGTCTGGAGTGGGAGCGGGGGAATGCTCACCCACCTTCCCTTCTTTCCCTTGACTTTCCTTCCTTTCCAACCTCTCTCCCAGTACGTCCTGAAGCCCACCTTCACCAAGCAGCACATCGCCAACTTGGACAAACAGGCCAAGCTCTCCCGGGCCTACGATGGCACCACCTACCTGCCGGGCATTGTGGGCCTGAACAACATCAAAGCTAATGACTACGCCAATGCTGTTCTCCAGGTACTGTCACATCTTTGCAAATATTGAACAAGTTGGTGATGTTCCGTGGTTCTCAGTTGTCGTAAGCAGATGAAAGGAGCCTCTTCTCTTATGTTAATAAATAAAGACACAGCAGTTGTAGTTCAGCCTTTGATTGTGCCTGCACCTGATCTCTCTGGACCTGATCTCTCAAATGATTTTGGGGATTTTGAGCCTGTTAGTCAGCCTGTTGACACAAGAGATTCTGGGTCTGCAAGTCAGCAGGGATGGTTAGCAAGAGCATCTAGAGTAGGGATCCACAAACGTTTTAAACAGAGGGCCAGGTCACAGTCCATCAAACTGTTGGAGGGCTGGATTATAATTTGAAAAAAAAAACACGAATGAATTCCTATGCATGCTGCACATACCTTATTTGTAGTGCAAAAAACACTTAAAAACAATACAATAATTAAAATGAACAATTTTAACCAATATAAACTTATTCGTATTTTAATGGGAAGTGTGAGCCTGCTTTTGGCTGATGAGATAGTGGTGTTGTTGTTCTTTCAAGTAGTTTCAAATTTATGTTGACCCTGAGCGCGGGCGGGGTAAATGACCTTAGAGGGCCATATTCGGCCCTCTGGCCTTAGTTTGAGGACCCCTGATCTAGAGACTGAAAATGAGTAGTCTCTGTCTGAAGGCCATATTTCAACAGAACCGAGCTCAGATGATAGCGAAAGTCCAGGTGGACAGACTAATGAGCAGTTGGATCAGCCATGGGCAAACTTGGGCCCTCCAGGTGTTTTGGACTCCAACTCCCACCATTCCTAACAGCCTCAGGCCCCTTCCTTTTCCCCCTCTGTTGCTGAGGGGGGAAAGGAAGGGGCCTGAGGCTGTTAGGAATAGTGGGAGTTGGAGTCCAAAAAACCTGGAGGGTCCAAATTTGCCCATGGCTAAATTACATAGAAGATGTACATTTTGTTAGCATAAGGGTTGAGAACTGTTAGTGAATTTCATGTTTTGGATTTATTCTGCTCTTGTATTCCTGGTTTTTGGATGCTACTTATGTACCTTGGTTTTTATGGATTTTCTCAGATTTTTGGACTTTGGTTTCTGATACTATTTTGCAGAATTGCTTTTTATATATTCTTCAATAAACTGCTTGCTGTTTTATCTTGGACTGATGTGGGTGTTAAGTGCAGAAGTGCTTCCCAACCTTGGAGTACAATAACAGCATTTATCCATTGAAAAGCCTCTTGTGTAGCAGCTGAATTCTCTTGCCAAAAGCTCACCCGAGTCAAAGTGGTGCATCTGCCAGAGACTGGATAGTGAGGAGGGAAGCAATTTTTACTTCCCGGAGTCTGAAATTAGAACCATAGAATAATAGAGTCGGGAGAGACACCAAGCCCATCCAGCCCAACCCCCTTCGGCTATGAAGGAGGACACAATTAAAGTCTTCCCTACAGATGGCCATCCACCCTCTGTTTAAAGAAGGAGCCTCCATCTAACTCCGAAGCAGAAAGTTACACTTTTGAACAGCTCATCTAACGGTCAGGAAGTTCTTCCTCATGTTCAGATGGAATCTCCTTTCCTGCATTTGAACCCAGTGTTACTCAGGGATAAGTTGGAGCAGGTTATATACTACACTTGTAGTGCTTTGTAAGCCACTCCGAGTCCCTTTTGGGAGATGATGGCGGGATATAAAAAAAAAAATTATATCCCGCCATCATTTATTTATTTATTTATTTCTGAGTTGAATGCATCATAATTCCCTCTGGTGCCCAATATCTGTGTGTTTAGGCACTATCCAACGTCCCTCCGCTACGGAATTATTTTCTGGAGGAGGAGAACTACAAGAACATCAAGCGCCCACCAGGGGACATCATGTTCCTGTTAGTCCAAAGGTTCGGGGAGCTCATGCGGAAGCTGTGGAACCCCCGGAATTTCAAGGCTCATGTTTCCCCGCACGAAATGCTGCAGGCCGTAGTCCTGTGCAGCAAGAAGAACTTCCAGATCACCAAGCAAGGCAAGATTTATTTATTAATTTGTTTGTTTGTTTACAGTATTTATATACTGCCTTTCTCATCCCTTGGGGGACTCAAAGCGGGGCATATCCCTTAGTGCAGAGTGGTCCTCTGATGGAGGAGGACATTTCTGCCCGAATGACAGGGCCTGGAGCCTTATTGCTGTTCCTGAGCCAGTTGTAGCTACTTTTGGAGGGTGCCTCTTCCTTTTTTGACTTCTCTTTCTCTCTCTCTCTCTCTCTCTCTCTCTCTCTTTGCAGGTGATGGGGTGGACTTCCTTTCCTGGTTTTTGAATGCCCTGCACTCTGCTCTCGGTGGGACAAAGAAGAAGAAAAAGAGTAAGTAAGAGACGGCAATGACTCCAGAGTATTTTATATTCAGGTTTTAGTTTTATAACGCCTCCACCCAAATGTCAAGGTCTATTTCCCCCAAGCTCCATCTGTGTTCTTAGTTGGGCATATGGAATATTCGTGCCAAGTTTGGTCCAGATCCATCATTGTTTGAGTCCAGAGTGCTCTCTGGATGTAGGTGTACCACAACTCTCAAACTCAAGATCAATGCCCACCAAACCCTCCTAGTGTTTTCTGTTGGTCATGGGAGTCTTGTGTGCCACGTTTGGTTCAATTCCTTCATTGGTGGAGTTCAGAATGCTCTTTGATTGTAGATGAGTTGGTTAAAATAAGCCCGGTGAAAGAAAGATTACGGTTTTGTTTGATTTTCCTTCTGTGTGTCATGTTTGCAGCCATTGTGACAGATGTGTTCCAGGGCTCCATGCGGATCTTCACCAAGAAGCTGCCACATCCTGACCTGGTGAGTGCAAGGCTGGAGCTCCCATGATGCTTGAAAAAAGCCATAGGAAGGCATTCAGGGGTGAAAGGGCATTTGTGTCAGTGGTGCACGGTTGCATGGTGAGTCCGGGAGGGCAGATCCTGTGATTGGCTGCACAAACATCTCCTCATCCTCTCTTTATGGAGCCCTTCCAGGTGGGAGTGCTTCTGTCACATTCTCTCCAGCCTTACGGCTTCCTCCTCAGCTTCATAGTAGGGACAGCTCAAGGCCCATGGGTGGAATCTGGCCCTCTGTGTCATTGCATGTGGCCCTCCAGATGCTGGACTACAACTCCTGCGTTCAATGTGTTGTTGAAAGCTTTCATGACCAGAGTCACTGGATTGCTGTAAGTTTTCCAGGCTGTCTGGCCATGTTCCAGAAGCATTCTCTCCTGACATTTTGTCCACATCTATGGCAGGCATCCTCAGAGGTTGTGAGGTATATTGGAAACTAAGTGAGGGAGGTGTATGTATCTGTGGAATGATGTTCAGGGTGGGAGAAAGAACTGTTGTCCACTTGAGGCAGATGTGAATGTTGCCATTAGCCACCTTGATTAGCATTGAATAGCCTTGCAGCTTCAAAGCCTGGCTGGTTGCTGCCTGGGTGAATCCTTTGTTAGGAGATTTTAACGGGCTAAGATTTATTTATTTATTAACTTTATTTGTACCCCGCTACCATCTCCCCGAGGGACTCGGTGCGGCTTACATGAGGCCGAGCCCAAACAACAACAATACAAGCAATAAAACAACAATACAAYCAATTAAAAAACATAGACAATAAGATAAACAACATTATCGATAAAATAACACACAATTAAAAACAGAGGGGAGGCCAAATGTAAAGTTAAAATTTGAAATATGCTGGAACATGAARGGAAGGTGATACTGGTGTTTGTGAAAGGGTATACGAGCAGACTTAGAAAATGTAAAGTGCTTTGAAGGACAAAGTGCTATGGAATCATTATTCTGGGAAGGCACACTGGAACAGCCACGTCTTCAAGTTCCTCCTGAAGACTGCCAAAGTTGGAGCCTGTCTGATGTCGTTAGGGAGTGAGTTTATTTTTTGTCTTGAATTCTCCTGTTTTCTGAGTGTTGTTCTTTATTTACTGTTTTGTTTTTAGGTTTTTTTTAATACTGGTAGCCAGATTTTGTTCTTTTCATGGTTTCCTCCTTTCTTTGAAATTGGAATCATAGAATCATAGAATTGGAAGAGACCTCATGGGCCATCCAGTCCTGCCAAGAAGCAGGAAAATTGCATTCAAAGCAACCCCAACAGATGGCCATCCAGCCTCTGTTTAAAAGCTTCCAAAGAAGGAGCCTCCACCACACTCCGGGGCAGAGAGTTCCATTGCTGAACGGCTCTCACAGTCAGGAAGTTCTTCCTAATGTTCAGATGGAATCTCCTCTCTTGTAGTTTGAAGCCATTGTTCCGTGTCCTAGTCTCCAGGGAAGCAGAAAACAAGCTTGCTCCATCCTCCCTATGACTTCCTCTCATATATTTATACATGGCTATCATGTCTCCTCTCAGCCTTCTCTTCTTCAGGCTACACATGCCCAGTTCTTTAAGCCGCTCCTCATAGGACTTGTTCTCCAGACCCTTGATCATTTTAGTCGCCCTCCTCTGGACACATTCGAGCTTGTCAATATCTCTCTTCAACTGTGGTGCCCAGAATTGGACACAATATTCCAGGTGTGTCTAACCAAGGCGGAATGGAGGGGTAGCATTACTTCCCTGGATCTAGACACTATGCTCCTATTGATGCAGGCCAAAATCCCATTGGCTCCTCATAGGGCTTGATCTCCAGACCCTTGATCATTTCAGTCCATATGTTTGTGGATTTCCGTGGCTCCTCTGTGTAGTCTGATATAATTGTTGTGAGAGTGGTCCAGCATTTCTGTGTTCTCAAATAATATGCTACGCCCAGGTTGGTTCATCAAGTGCTCTGCTCTGGCTGACTTGTTTGGTTGAATTAGTCTGCAGTGCCTTTCATATTCCTTGAGTTGTGTTTGGGCAACGCGTTTGATTATGTCCATGAAAGCCTTTGACAACACATTATGTAAAAGAAATTGTAGTTGGTCCTCTGTATTCATTCTCCATGCATGGATCCATGGCTGTGGCCCTTGATGCAAATGCATGTGCCAACACTGGCCTCAGGGTCGGTTCTCCGCCATAAAGGCCCCTCTTTGCTCCCCGCTGTCCCCTCCCAGCCAGCTGAGGAGAAGGAGCAGCTGCTCCAGAACGAGGAATACCAAGAGAAGATGGTGGAGTCCACCTTCATGTACCTGACGCTGGATCTGCCCACGGCCCCCCTTTACAAAGATGAGAAGGAGCAGCTTATCATCCCCCAGGTGCCCCTCTTCAACATCCTGGCCAAGTTCAACGGCATCACTGAGAAGGTAGCCTTCCCCCCTCAGCTGTCATGGAGTTTCTCATTCCCCCAAACGGGCTGTAGAGTATGGGATTTGAGAAGAGGAAAGTTATTGTATATACTCGAGTATAAGCCTAGTTTTTCAGCCCTTTTTTAGGCTGAAGACGCTCCCCTCGGCGTATACTCGAGTCAAGGTTATTTATTATTTTACTCTGTTATTAGTATTATTTTTATGTCATGTATTATTTTACTCTCTTTATTATTATTACATTTACAGTATTTTACCCTATTAT